TTATTTTGCTCGAACCATTTTTAAATATGTCCAAAGATTACGGAACGTTCTAAGGGAAATAACTCCTGCTGTACCCTCACATGGATCAGCGAAGGAAAGGATATCTGTATCGGCCTCGCTAGTTGCCGATGTTCTTTAATCATATCAACTTGATAATCGAAATAAAAAAACAAATAAATAAATAAATAAAAATAGACAGATAAGATATTCCAGAGACGTCTGCGTCAGTGATCTTCATTACTTAGTACTGATCTATGCTGACATTTTCTTTCCTCTGCATTTGTGATTTTCCATTACGTCATTTGTAAATCGCTATGAAATTATGCTTCAAAATTGAACTATTTCCAAACCTAACGACTAAGCTGTGTGAAAGAATAAACGGTACACGTGGCAAAAAAGGTGAAGTTTATTTTCAAGGAATTCCAATAGAGTATAGAAGCCACCCCCAATGGCTGTAGGTGCCAACTTAAAATTCACAAGAAAGCTACATCGGGGACCGATACTGAATACCGATACCCCCGTCCCCTCTTCTTTTTTTATCAAGAAGATGCTTTCTATGTTTCAGAAAAAGGTCTCAAAATTTTAAAAATACACGTAGAAGCGAAAAATGCCTATCTTGAACCTGATCAATTGAAAAGCCCAAGTTTTCTCTGAAGAACACTACGATTGAAATTGGTTGGATTTGTGTATATTGTGTCCTGTTGGTTTCTGCCAATCAGCCAACGTTACATGTAGAGTATTTCTGCATTCCCGCGGATTCTATTTCATTTTTCAAAGAACAGTCGTTTCAGCTCTTTTTTGGTAATTCAATATTTTATCACTTTAGCTAAATAAGTATAATAATTTCGCTGCAAATATTGTTGTAAAATTGGCTCAAAATCTTTAACATGATCAAAAAATGTTCGCTAATTTTTCACCCTGGGAAAAGTCCCTGTATTAAATTTCTAAAAAATTAATGTTGGCTTTTTCTTTTTCTGAAATAGAGACATTTGAGAAAGACCAAAGTAATGAAATGTTTTTTGTTTTATTTGTATCATGGATTAGTCAAAGGTTGCAAGATATGCTTGCATACAACAAAATATCTGAAACCAAGACATTGTTTACAATTTTGTGAATTTTGGCAAGAAGTGGAAGTAAAGACACTATTGTAACATTTCATACCTACAAATAGATCAAAACTATGATTTTCCTGACTTGATTTTTGAAAAATATTACTGACGTACAGAATTATCAGATGTGCAGAATTACAAGACATGATGTACAATATCATTACTATGATAATGAATACTTTTTCTGATAATTAATTGATTGCTACTACTGATTGTTTTAGTGACAGTTAAGACAATTTTTTGATGATGACTAATGATAATTACGATGACAAATTAAAAGGAAATGTAGCTTTGTATGGATACTACTAACTATCATTCTTCAATAGAGATACTGGTATATTGGTGAGAATGTGTACAAATGTATTGTCATGTTCCTATGCTTAATTAAAAACTCTTGAAAATACAGACTTAGATGTCTACAGCCAGCCGCTAAAAAAAACAAAATCAAACTATTTGTTATAAACCCATAATCTTTCACTTAACATACTTTGACAGCAGAGGATAGAATTTTTTATTATTGCCAATGGAAATGATCAAACAAATATACGATGTAATTGTGGATGAGACAACAATATAAGGGAGACAACTCAATATTGTAAGCAATACCTAGTGGAAACTTTTGACAAATAACCATGTACTCATGTTCTAATCAAATAAATAAAAAAAAAACATAATTCTTTACACATTCACAACATTTATTCTTGCCTTATGATAACATTCAAACTTTAAAACATACAACAACAACTGATCAATTTACAGCATATTAACTAACACACGTCCATACTTTACACACATTCATAACTTGTTGTGTAGATCGATTCTTACTTCACAAGGAGTGATAGTCTATTGTCAATACCTAATACTGACACAAAATAGTTTCTTTCCAAGTTTATGTTAAAATGAATACTAAAACCAAATCTTACTTAGTATTCAACATTTTGGTTTTAAATCGTTCAGAGAAACAGGAATGTTCAGACCTGTTCAAATCAACAATATTCCATGCCTTGGATTTGAAAGATGTCCTCCATTTTCCAAAATGTCTTATGGAATTATGCATCAGAGACAAAAAAGATTTTCCTTAGTAATATTTGCACTGTTCACTTTTCCAATGGAGCATAGTTGAGAAGCTTCTCAATCAGATCAACATGAGCCAGTAACATCCTGCGACAACAGTAACGCTTTAATCCTAAGGCATCAAGGGCATCGCTGCAAAACAAAACAAATTAGGTATTAATGTAGAGCTGCAAATCTTATTTAGTTTTATTTTTTCTATCTAAAATCATTTTAAAGTAAACAAATCTAGAATGAGAACTGGATATAATGCTGAACAATTATTTTGTAATACATATTTTTGTAAATTTTGCATGGAATCTATTGTCTTCTATTGGAAAGAAAACTGTCCAATGTTTAAGGAGGATTCTATTTTTTGGTGGTGGGTGGGGGGGATTAAAGCAATTACATTAACAAGGCCTGAGAGTATAACTGTATTTTCCCCAATACTTTTCAGTCTACTCAAGCATTTTTTGATAGTTTTCAAAGAAGGTCTATTACAGTCCAGATTTCATGACCTACCTACTCTGTTTTCTGACATGTCAATTTTTGGAGAAAATGTTTAAATTTTTAGGCTGAAAGCATGAAATAACCAAGTCAAATAAGTTCACAGAAAACATAGCTCTTTTAAAAACAAATCCATTCAATGCTGAAACTAATGATATTGGCCATTAGTGTACAGAATTTGTTAGTAACAATCTTTTTGAACTCTAAATAACAGTGTCAGCGAGTCATATTTAATTTGAATTGTTAATGCTAGATTCATTGCTTTCTGTTAATATATACCTGTAGCTATATATATAGATATATATATACACTGGAAGCATTAATACCTACCCTTCAGTATATTCCACCTGTAACAGTCCAAGATAAGCTTCCCATTTGTTTCCTATCACCTTACCACAGGTGAAACACCGGATTGGAATAATCATGGCTGATCCTGACACTGACTGTAGTATGGAAATAAAATATGATAAATAAAATAATAAAAGGGTCACTTATCAAAGTTGAAATAGCTGTATTTTCTATGTTCAATAATATTGATTAACTGTCTCAACAAAGATTCTTATTGAAAAATTTAAAAGGGATCTGCGGGCAAAACAACGTGGTGTGAACCAGGGTAGGTGCAAATTGTCAAGATACCACCACAATGACTAGACTCAAATAGTTTCTCATTTCCACATAGTTCATTATGCACTAGCGATATGATATAAAAACATCAGAGCATGATGTAGTTTGAAGGGTTCTGAATATCTATCCATGATTTTAATTTGTCTTGGTCGCGGACTAATAGAAAATGTCAGTGACCAAGACAAAATAAAATTGTGAATATATGTATTCTTTATTTCCTCCTCAATGAAGATTACAATAATTAGAGAACATCAAATACATTCAACATAAATACATCAGATATTTACATTATTGCTATACATATTAAATTACAATGATAAGGTAGATAATTAGGCTGACAAGGTTGAACCTTTTTGATTAATCAAATGTTTTTAATGTGTCATTTGTAATATGACGTTATCAATCGAAAGATTATCCTGACTGACTTTTTGCGGAACTCTTCCAAGTCGGCGTTACATAAAGATATGTTTCCTCATATCAGAACATGAAATAATCGACTTTCCTCTAAGGCATGCAAATATACACTAAACAAAATATCACTAATATTAATTAATTTGCACCAAAATTCGTCTCTTAAATCTTCAGTTGAACTACAATACAACACTATATGAATGACGTCATTATACAACTGACCGCACTTATGACATAATTCATTATGATCTAACCATCGCCTGGTCACAACTAATTTCATAATACAATGAATAGCCTCCCTGTGTGGAGTGTCGATAGTTAGAAACCTTCAGATTAAACATGTTTTGTGAACTGTTGATTTTTACTTGGGTTATTATCTGCCTGTGGTGAAGTGATTACCTGTGATTAGTTCATTTGGGTATAGTATCGGTTAGCTAAATGAAAATATCAGTATCATAACTTCGTTATCAGAAGTTGTAATAATACACAAGCGCAGTGATCTTATGAAACAATTGAAAAAGAAAACAAAACAAAAACACATTTAAAATCCTGAAAGTGTGTCTTCGCGTGTAAGTGTGATGGTCTCCTGATGAAAACGATGTTATAGGAATATAATTGTTCATTACTTTTAACTTCATTTTAAGTCCGTGCTTTTGACGTTCAAACTATTAAAAGCAACAATCTATGGTAACAGTAGATATATTTTTAATGTTGTTATTCACACTCCTATAAACCATTTGTGAAATATTTCTAGATACGGACCTAGAGGTTTAAACTCAACGAGATAAAATAATAGGGGCCATAATTATGGTATACAACACAATGAACAGCGTTATTACAGCAATCAAAACTTCGAGGTAAGTAATTTTAAGCAGCTTAAATATTAGTCAAATTAACTATTATAATTACAAGATAATGAAGCTGTCAATAGAATAAAACACTTGCTTATACTCGCAGCGATTCTTACCAAACAATCATGAAATTTCCCTCGTGTGAGTGCCACTTCCGGTTTTGAATGATAGATGGCGCTTTTCATTTTCTACACGTGCTTCCTGTTTACATTTTCATCGTCCAGAAAAGAATAGATAATACTTCAATTTCTCGCCACTGACATCGAACGCTGATATGCATTCTTTACAATAAACCCATACTTTTAGACATGTTTTATTTTATCATGTTTTAACTTACGTTTTTCAAGGTTTCACCGAATTTACCTGTTTGTCAGAAACTGGTCAAACAGGTTTTGCATTGCTTGAATAGAATTCTATATTTAGAAAACGTCAACACCGGGAACGGTAGATGCTGTTCCATGGTTAACTGAAACCCGTTTCGTTTTGACACTTTTTCGGATTTCGTAGTGACGTCTAAGTAACTTATATACAGTAAGTATGTCTTTATGAAAATATTTCGAAAATCTCAGATTGATCTACGTTTTGTTACTAGGGTGTGCCTAATACAATCCTATACATTTCCATGTGGTCGTTTTCAGATTTTAAAAAAATAGTGATCATCCAAAAACTATCAGTAGGGACATGATTTGAAAAGATGCGTGATTTTGATATTAATTCTTACTAATTTTGTTGGCATATGAACAACAGAGGCTGTACTGACCTATTTTTAGGGGGGGGGGGTGTAGATAGACCGAATTCCTGTTTCTAAAATGATCATTTAAGATCAGTATTCACATTTATTATACTGTTATTGATATTAACATTTTTATTGACATATATATGGGGGCTAATGGTACACACAAACATCAAAACACCCCCAATCAAATGTTCATAGTTTCACATGTTTTTTTGGTGTGGTTTTAAGCTGCATTCCTCATACCCAGCTTCCCAGACCGAGGGAAAGTCTAGTTACCTCTAATGCAAACCTAACCATAAAATTTTGTACAATTAAAATTGGCTTCACTTGTTTCAATTCAAAGTGTTTGTCCAATAACATGATTGCAACCAAAGTACTGACTCCCTGTCACCACAAGGAGAGTAATATAAGTAATAACTCCTTGCCATTGGACAGAGAGGCACTAACTCTCTGTCACCACAAGGAGTACCATAGAGGCACTAACTCTCTGTCACCTCAAGGAGTACCATAGAGGTGCTAACTTCCTGTCACCACAGGTAGTACCATAGAGGCACTATCTCACTGATACCACAAGATGATTCATAGAGGCACTAACACCCTGTCACCACAAGGAGATTCGTAGAGGCACTAACTCCCTGTCACCACAAGGAGATTCGTAGAGGCAAGGAGATTTCATAGAAGTGCTAACTCCCTGTCACCACTGGTAGTGTCACAGAGGCACTATCTCACTGTTATCACAAGGAGATTCGTAGAGGCACTAACTCCCTGTCACCACAAGGAGATTCATAGAGGCACTAACTCCCTGTCACCACAAGGAGATTCGGAGAGACACTAACTCCCTGTTACCACAAGGAGATTCGTAAAGGCACTAACTCCCTGTCACCACAAGGAGATTTGTAGCGGCACTAACTCCCTGTCACCACAAGGAGATTTGTAGAGGCACTAACTCCCTGTCACCACAAGGAGATTCGTAAAGGCACTAACTCCCTGTCACCACAAGGAGATTTCATAGAGGTGCTAACTCCCTGTCACCACTGGTAGTGTCACGGAGGCACTATCTCACTGTTACCACAAGGAGATTCATAGAGGTACTATCTCTATGTCAGGGTCTTTGAGGTACTACAGTATCTCCCTGTTGCCGCAAGGAGATTCATAAAGTTACCAACTCCCTTTCACCATCAGCTGGGTTATAGAAGAACTTACTCCTTGTCATCAGTAGATAATCCATAAAGATACTTACTTTTCACTAATTTTAATTGTTTTATATTATGAAGTCAATTTCATTTCAATTTTATATGGTTTCATAATTTATTTGATATAAGAATGAGAGAAATATTAATTCAGCTTGTAAAATAATGACAATCAGAAATTACTTTTGTTTTGGTTTTGTATTATTGAGCCGTCAGTAGAATTCATCACATGAGAGGTAAACGCGTACTATAGCAGTTGTGGTTTCTTTTTTATCAGGTCAAGATGGCAGGTGGAAACAAAGCAGCACGCGTTGTGTTTTTGATATGTGATTTCATTTTCCTGGTAAGTACATTGTTTTGAAACCTATTCCATATCCAATTTGCTACATGATAAAACTACATATCCCATCCCAGCTATCTTTCCCTAATCCATGTAAGATTAATAGAATCTTTCACTCCCTTTGGGGTGAGACAGGGGGATCTCAACCCGAGGGGGGGATTATTATGTTGTCAAACACGAGGATTGTAAAATACGAAATAGAATGTTTGTAAACATAAACTTGTAGACAATATATGAATATAGTGTCGAGGCCGTCTCAACTGCGTCATGCTTAATTGTGATATCCCGCACAAATATAATTCCCATTAACGGTACAGTACAACACAAAAGGCATAATATTAATGATAAAAAACAATTTTAATGTGACAGTATGGATGAGATGACTTAAATATATACACAAAATCAACACATATTATTAAATTGTTATTTTACAATGACGTCATTTACATGTCAAGTTCCACTTCCGGGTCAAGATAGTGACGTCACATTATTGTTGAGAACGCGCAAGGAGCGTGTGTAGCTTGTTTTAACCCTAGGGTGATATAGAAAAATCACACAACGTTAAAAACTGTGGATATCCCTGTCCGGGGTAAGATAAACAGTTATCTCATCCCTCGCAACCATAGGATCGCCCTGTAAAATTTCTGAGAAATTCATTTATTACATATCTATATAGTATTGACTCTGTAGACCTTGATTGTAACATGCCTACAGAGTCCATTGCAAGCTGACTGAAGTTAACATTTACACTGAATAATATAAACTATTTCAATTTTTGATTACAGTTAATGGGAATAGGCATATTCATAGCTGGAATATACCTGAAGGTCTCTCGGGCTGACTTCACAGAGGTGCTAGACAGCAGGGAGTTTAACTTTGCCACAGCACTGATGGTGTCCGCTGGAATTATTGTGGTTGTTGTTGCCATTATTGGTTTGATTGGGGAGCGCCTCCAGAATCAATGTGTACTTGGAGTCGTAAGTGTCTTCATCTTCTAATTGTGTCGAGTTTAAAGTTGGTAGGTTATTAATTGTTACTTGTAGTTTTCCCAAAACAGACAGTTGTGTTTTTATTTTTTGTTGCCTTTCTAGTCATGGTATGATGTCTATCCACCTGGTATCATTTTTTTCAGTAAAACAACTTGCATCATAACTGAAAGGTCCAGGGTCATGATGATAAGTCAGTAGCATGCTGGGATAAATTAACATCGACTTCTTTTCATGTCACAGGGGTCAAATGTGTTAAAATGTTTAAACAACTTCTTCTCATAAACAAAGAAGCCTTTAGTCATAATAGACCATTAGCATGCTCGAATGAAGGTATACAAACTTTGTTCAAATGAATTACCTTGATCTACTTTCAAGGTCGCAGGGGTCAAATGTGTTAAAACATTTTAACAAATCATCTCAGAAGAAATGAGGCCTAGAGTCATATTAGATCATTAGAATGCAAGAATGATGGTTTACAAAGTTTGTTAAAATGAATGACCTTGATCTATTTTCAAGGTCACAGGGGTCAGATGTGTTAAACATTTTAACAACTTCATCTCAGAAGAAAAGAAGCCCAGAGTCATATTAGACTATTAGCATTCAAGAATGAAGGTTTACAAAGTTTGTTCAAATGAATGACCTTGATCTACATTCAAGTTCGCAATGGTCAGATGTATTTAAGTCTTATCAACAAATTCTTATCAGTAACCAATAGCCCAAGGTCATGATGTTAGGTCAGTGTCCTAGAAGCATCCTAGAATAAAGGCTTCAAAATATGTTTAATTGAATTATTTTTACTGATACAAAAGGCAACAGATGTCAAATATATCAACTTCTTTAAGGCTTTCTTGAATAAACAATAAATCAATTGTTCTTTTGTTTCACCTACAACATGCTTTAAAGATGTAGAATTGATTTTGGGATAAACATGATAATTACCATAATGAACTTGTTCCAGTGATGTCTTCTCTTCATATACTGCAGAGAAGGTTAGAAATACAGGCCGATTAAGAAAAGAAATCCAATATTTATTTCAAGAACTGTTTCTCTGAATGGGAGTAAATATTTGTCATGGTTTAAGTTTGGCCCCTTTTTCTCTTTTATCAATAGAGTGAAATTAAAAGGTGGGTAAACATTTTAGTACAGATTTAAGACTTGGGGGTGGGGGGGGGGGAGGGGAATAGTTGTCTCTAAGGGCAGAAAAAAACCCTTGGACAAATATTTCTCTGTTTAAAATATTGATGATAGGAATTGTAAAACAAAATACAGACGATTCCTTCTAATTTCTGTGTTTGTTTTTAACCATTTCTTGGTTAATTCTCTTTTTTGCATGGATGTTTTTTATTTCAGTACCTGATTTGTGTTATACTGATCTTCTGTATGGAACTTGCAGCTGGGATTACTGGAGCCATCTACAGAAATAAGGTAGGTACCTCAATAGTCATTTAGTTTGGTGTTTTTGTATGTCTCAAGCTCCTGTCAAACAATGTTGTGTCCGAAGTAGCATCGGATGTTTTCAATTGTCAATAATTTAGTGTGGAATTATCAATGTCACCGGGGTCGTTATAGACAACACACACTGAGGTTCTTGTTTTCAGTTTGTTTATTTCATAAATAAGGATGAAACCTACAAAGGTAAAACAAAGAACATCACAGTGCCAAAACGGACCATACAACAACTGGCACACCAAATCGATTCATGCACCAACGTTCAAGCACACACATATCACTTACCAGGCCTCCCACCGCAGTCGCTATATAAGTTCCCTTTGCAGGGGTATACAATGGTAAACACACAAGTATAGCAGTTCTCGCTAGCATGGTCAGAGCTCGAGTGACGGGTTGTTTAGGGACCGGGGCGGTATTAGGGGGTAAGTGGCGGGAAAGCCTGTGACACGCATGCAGGGTGCAGTGGTCAGTGCGTTGGTGATGAGTAGTTGTCAGTGTCATAGGTTACGTCGTATATATTTACTAAACATACACATGTACACAGGACATCACTTGACATGATTACATTATTACAACACCGGTACATCAGTACGATGTAGATTCTGTAAAACATATGGGTTACATCAAGTTTGTAACAAGGGTATCAGAGGTAACATTTTGTCAGTCACGTAATATCTTCCTCTCTGTAGAGAAAAGTTTTAGTTAGATGGGACTTCCATAATGAATTATGGTTGATTGAAAAATAATGAAACTATAGTTTTAAGACCTGTGTAAAATTTAAGATTGCTTCAATGGCGACCATCTTGAAAATCTTATGTTTTCTTCTTGTGAATAGAAAATTGTGTCAAAACTGCACTGTCTGCACCAGTTTTGTCCGGAACTCATGTTTTTTTTAGCTCATAACCCTAGAGTTTTAACTTATTATGTTTACAGATAGAAGATGCCCTGAGAAGTGACATGTTGTCAGGACTACAGAACTCAGACAAACGTAATGCTTGGGATGAAGTCCAGGAAAGGGTAATTATTGAACAACTTAAAAAAATACAAATAATGCTAGGAAAGCAATTCATGAGTAAATTGATAACTTAAAAAATTTATACCAAGTACTTGTGGTGAAGGATGGGTGAGGTAAGGTGTTATACTGTTTCATATATCAGCAATATACTGACAAATGCCAGTGCTGGACCAAACATTTTCCACCAAACCTATGATGTGGAAAATTAAAAGTCTTGGTGAAAACACAAAAATTCAAAGATGTACATCGTAATTAAATAATTTATTTCCTACATGTACACTTTATTTCATGAGGGTATGGAAGCATTTTTCGACATAAATATGAATACATTTGACTTTTGGCAACCTTTTTAGTATGAATGCTGTGGCGTACATAATGCAACAGACTGGAACAACGTGTTCGACCCCAGAAACCCGACCTGGATTCCAGACTCGTGCTGTGGCTATGAAAACTGTGGAACAACAGGAAGTCAAGTAGCTTGGACTATTGTAAGTACATTAGAGCTAACATCCACATAATCTTATTGCTTCAGCAAACTGTTGCATTTTAGAGGCTATTGGCTGTTTAATCATGATGTGATGTAAAAACAATGTTTTCTGGGTTTTGGTCGAACTGATATTAAACCAGTCAAGAATGATTACCTCATTATCTATTTCAGGGTTGTTTTGACGATGCAAAAGAATGGCTGGAAATGAACTACTTGACTATTGTTCTTGTAGCTATTATTGAAGCTGTTCTTCAGGTATGCATGTCATTTTATTAAACAACTTTCCAATTTGAGGAAAAGTTGTACATGGTATTAATTTTATAAGTCTTCACTCAATGAATTAATTGAAATATATTTGATTTTTTAAAACTTATTAAATTATTATATGTTATTATCTGTAATTAAAATATTCTGGAGCTCCTTAGGTTATATCTTTGTTAAATCAGCATTGTAATTTTCTTTATATACAAAATATTGTATTTAGTAAGAAATTAAAATGAAAAATATTGTTGCATTGATGTTTAATTGACATTTTACTTTTATTCTTAATATTTTTTTTCTTATTTTTTGTAGGTATTACTTATCATAATGCCCATTGTGCTGATATACTTTATAAGACGAGAGAAAAAATACCGATACATGTGATGAACTGACTTGTCACCATGGTTACACAATGTTGAGAATTGATTAGCTGTGTGTGGTCACAAGTGTATGGCTGATGTAGGCTGTATGTGGTCATGATTATGAAACTGATGTTGAGTTAAATTTAAATTTGGAGAACATTTAAATGAAGTGTTTATGCAAATTGTTTTAGGAAACTAAACAAAACGTAAACACGTTTCTTGCCGTTCATTTCTGAACTGTTCCAATGGATATACCATCATCTAAAGCGATGATAACGGCCCAAAAGACATTGGTTGACTACGAACAATCAGGAAGGGTTCTTTATCTAGGATGAAATATTGTTTACATATATTTACTGTCACAAAAATCCAGCACATACATGTAACTGCATTCCAGTAGTTTGGAAACTGGATTAAATCCAAGTGTCTCGCGTTCCTGCAGCAGCAATTACTGTTTATATCCTAATTAGCCACCAATGTATCCTTACAAATTATCTTTTGTTCTATCAGACGTGTAGATGCTTTATTATGATTGGAAGGCTATATGTAATCTTAATTCAAAACAATATGTTTTTTTAAACTTGAGAAGGCAAACCTACTGTTGTATTATTAAAATGTCTCACAATTTGCAATAATCTAGAACAGAGACCTATATGTGTTATATATAAGTCTCTGTCTAGAGGAATCTTGTAACATAGTTTTACTATGTTACATGTAAATTTTGAACTGGTTACTTGTTAACTTTAAAAAATACTTATTTCAGACACATTAAGGTTAAAAGTGTTATCACTTCGTAGATATCTACAGGATGAAGTATTGGTTTTATGTGATAGAGGTGCAAACTAATGACATATTTTGAGATCTTTTTATTATTCCTGTGAATTTATAAATATATAAATAGATATTATATATATGTGCATATCTTGTATATTTTGAAAACAAATAAAATTATAAACCTGTAATATTAATTTTGTCTTAATTTCACCCTATAGTGTTATATTTTATTACATATCTAGCCACTCTATTATGTAGGAAGCCCGAGACCTTTATATCACTGATCTAAATATAGATTCATTCAGGATCAATTGCCCAGAGTTTTTATCATTGCAGTCTAGATCCTTGTTGATCTTTAACAATTTCGACCAGACTTGTTAGAAGTGTGATGAATTATTCCTGGTCCTGAAGATATTTAAGTACTGCCATTTTAAGACACGTCGTGTTAAAACTAAGTGGTAAGTCCTTGTCGATAAGTTTGACTAAGTTTAACTGTTTCCTGTGTCAAACTTTTTCATCAGTTATTATATATTTCAAAGACCTGTCTTCATTTACATCAAAAGTGCGCTATTTAAGCACTATTTAATGTATCTCGGTAAGGCCTCGCTGTCTCATACATTCATATTTAACATCCAAGTAAGATAGACATCACAATGAGTACAGTATATATTGTAGATCACGTAACAGCACGCATCACATCGCCTATCAACATCATTAAAAAAAACGTTCAAGAGAGATATTTATACAAGTATGTTAATTTACAGAAATGATGGGATTTACAGAAACAAAAATTCACGGGTGATATAATTTATAGGAATGTTTACAGTCCTTGACTGAATATTGATGTATTTGAGGTAGTTGTTCACATAACTTACTTTCCGCTTTTCCAGTCAGTATACTTTATGTATGAAGATCGACTGACTTACAACCGTTTTCTCTCAAACTGCTTCTCTCCGAACCTCAACAGCAGTAACAACTATGTTCATCAACTTCAGAATTGTTCTTCTCATTCTGTGCGGGATGAACAGTGGAAACGCTCTGTTTTTTAATGCTGTTTAAATAGACACGTAACGAACTATTCCACAGGCACAAAACAAACAGCTGCTTAGAGCAGTTTTCCTATTTTTTACTGACGTTTCCACTCTGAAAATTTGTACTGATAAACAGCGCATTTCGGTAGATGTATTTTTATCTAATCTCACGGAGCAACAAATATGTTTTGTACAAGGATTCATCGTTGGCTTTGGACCGTAAGGTTTGCGTAAATAGGTCGTGTCGTTGGAGTATCATAATCTGATTGTCCTATATTGGAGTTGCTGTACATGTGTAAAGACTCATACGAGACCTTATCTCGTTTTTCAGGTACTTGTTCATAGGCATGTTGGGGTTCCATAGTATTTCCGTAGAGATGAAGACTGTCATATGCTTCAGGAGGAGAGGTGGAGACGTTCTGTTCAAAATCCTGATACGATTCTGAAAATAAATCAAACGACAAACAGAATTATTTCGTTGTTTTTCTCTAAAAAGGAACTTGGCAACCTCCATCTTTTGATCTTTACTTGATGTTTTTATCTTTCCATTACTGTCCACTTTTTTCAGCTCTTTCCGTGTTATTATATCGACTAGTGAATGAATATTGCAGTGACATTGTAATACATTATTTTTGAATGACCCGTCCAGTACTTTCTACAAACAGTGATGACCATATACAGAATGAAATCCATGACGGACCCTCCTTGTCAATATTTTCCATCAGTTGCCATTTTGTTTTTTCTTAATCTGTCCCATCTAGTTCTCTAGAAATAACGACAACAATCTTTAGGTGTCAATCCAATATGACAGATTTTTAGGGAAATGTACACATCAACCTCTCAGGATATAACGTTATCAAACATTAACGAAGTCCAAGCTACGCCCCGTTTTTAAATTAACATATAGGTATTAAGGAAAAGGGAACACGCAAATGAAGTTTCAGAATGAACCATACGTGCTTATAGCGAAACAACAAACGTGAGAACCGTTTAAGGACGGACGGATGGACGGACGAACAGCCACCATCATCAGAGGATGAAGAGACATATACATGTTCTAAAGCTTTGCCACATTTACAGCGTATACATAGTGAATGTCCCCTTTTTTCAAGGCGCTGCATTTTTTTTGGTACTGTGCATGTACATACTTTTCTATATCATATCTTTTATATTTTCGTGATGATTCTGTACTAATTAATTTGAACAGATAGGCACACAACAGTTTTTTGCGAATTTTGTGTCGTTTTTTGACACCTAGCAATTAAGAATGGACTGTTGCTTGTCAGACATATCATCGTTGCTGGTAATGTGTACAACCACCCCCTACCCCTCCACTTCCTTGAATGAAGTGTTTTCCCAATGTCGCATAATTTGGGATGTGAAAAAAAACGCTATCTACAAAAACCTAAACAAACATGATAAAAGTATTTTAATAAAGCGGTTTTCTCGGTTTAGTTTGTTTGAATTAATTGAAAAAACGAACCTCTATAATAATACTCTGTAGGTTAAAATGTGAAATTAATAAATATTCACCATTATCCTGTGAAGTTGCACCTTCTGCTGCGGGTTTGACATATACACGGCCATTACTTGTCAAGTTCTTTGTATCACTGAAAATTAAATGCATCTATAACTTAAAATCAAAGTTTATTATTATTTTTTACTAAAATCACTTCATAACGTAATCTTTTTTTCTGCAAACAGTCAAAAAGGCGAGTTATGTCCAAATTTGATATTCGAATATGCTTGAATGCTGATTCGTCTTCATTCATCACAGAATTCTTCGTGCTATACAAGACTTCACAAACGATGTACAATGACAAATCAGCTGTATGTCTTTTTTATTGGTCTGGCGACATGTCAATAATTTGGTTTTTATTATTTTTGATTAGAGTTATGTTGCAATCATTGTTACCTCAAAAAATTGTTTCAACAGTTCTATCTTATATACAAACTTTATAGAGATACGATCAAACTATTTTTAAAATTCATATACAATAAAGACAAACATGATAACTAGTGGTTTTCACAGTAATTAATAAGTAGAAGGTTTTGTCCATCGATTTTGTTGTCAGGGTACCTGTGTTATCGATCTTTATTCCATCTTCGAAAGTGATATCCATTACAGTACTTATCTAATGGAATTATGTTACCATGGTTATATACTCACTCTAAGGGATTCTTCTTTCGTTTGTATCTGACCCTGAGTAGCAATACCGCCATGACAACAGCAGCCAGCACCACCAGAGGTATCCCTATAGACAGTCCGGTGGAGGCAGGGTTGTCTTGCTCGTCTCCCTCTTCTGCGTTCCCGACGTTTGTCTCTTCTCCGGATCCCTCGGTGACGTCCTCTGCTTGTGTAGTGGTTGGTGCAACAGTGGTGGTAGTGGGCGTGGTTGTTACAAGTGGCTCGGTTGTAGTGATGGTGTTAGTGGTTATTTCAGTTCGTACGACTGTTGTAATCTGTCTTTTAGTAGTGGTGACTGTAATTGGGGCATCTGTAACGTAGACATTGTCTGAAATAAACGTTTTAGATTTAAATCGTTTGTATTGAGAAAAAATCTCGTCGATTGTAAACGTTAGAAATGCACACGAGATGAGTCAAATCCGCTTGACAGGAATTCCTAACTACATTTTCATCTTCATTTTTTATGTAAGCACTAATTCCTAAGTGCAGTTCATATATATATACTCTCAACAGGTCGTCCCTAGTGTATGTGAGGCGTGTGCATGTTTTGTGTGACTTTCCGAAAGACTGTTGTATCTTCGTGTAAACTTTAAATGTTATGAGTGTGGTGTCTTGCTGGACATCACATCTGGTCACAATATACTGACAGATGATAAACCAGTTGCCATACTCTTATAATGCTGATTGTTAAACAGAGAGTTGTTACCAGCATTTTGTAGACTCTGGTGTGTCTCGGCCAGGGGACAGAACCCAAAACCTTCCTCGCAGGGGGAAACGCCCAAATAAAGGTAAAAAGTGAGGCGGTGTCATGGGAAACAGTAGGAAGAACAAGCGTAATTTAGAAAGAAAAGATCCCAAATGTAGTCGCCTCTTAGGAATCATGCAATTGGAGAGAGCAGGTACAATTATTAAGACCTGTCTCCAGGACAATTATACTGAACATGTCAAGATGATGATACATTTATTTATCACACGACGTCCTTAATATTATGTAGAAAGTTTGCATATTACATCTACGTAATCATAAGCTAATGTGGGTCAGGGACAATGAAATGACGTTACACGATCACAGGTTAAAAATTGACACCCACAGATTCCGATATTGACAAAGGGACTTGGTGCGATCTCTCAACCCACGGTATTATAATGACACGTTAATACCGGGGGTCGGGAATACGTCATTGTACATAGTGACATAACGCTGGAGACTACGCATGTTTAGTAATATAACATTATAAATAAGTTTGAGGATTATACACACATATTTGAGTATACTATACCATGAATATATACTTCTGGTATACATATATTTATATAAGTATGACTTATACAACAAGCTGTTTCTCTTAGTAAGACAAGTACTCCTACAGACAATGACAAACGGACACGGTGGCTGTCTGAATCATTCTCCAATACAAAGGTCAAAGTGTGTGTACAACATGCCTATATACACATATAACCTGAATTTCTGAAGAGATTAGCCTTTTTACATACTGGACTCGCCAACTTTTAGTAAAGATGAGTGGATCAATGTCCAGGAAATGAACACATTATTATTTCATTATCGTATCCTTAATTTTGTTGCCTCGAAATTGAGACGGAATTCTTAAATATAATGGACGCTCAATAACAGAACAAGGTTTTGACATAGATGGATTTTTCCAATAAAAGCTTTTGATATAACGGGATCGGAAGTTTTGGACTTTAGAATATATAAATAAAACGAAATTCGCCATCTACTTCAGTATAAAAGTTACACTTCATCATATCTCTCAAATTCTACAGTCAAAGAATGGGTGGGTGTGAAGTCAGGAAGTTATGACCTGTTTAAAAATATCGGTAACATTGATGTTACAATTATGATAAGTTGTGATAATATGGCTACATCTGACCTTGTTTAGATTCCCATGCTTGTAACGGTTGACTTTATATATTAACACACATGTTAAATGTTTCAACATTACAGTTTTTTCAAAGCTCACCCAAACTTATATGTACACATGTATGTATGCACTGTGACAGATAGGTCACACACATACAACGTTACAGGAAATAGTTGTATAAAAGAAACGCAAGGAAAAGATAAATTAAACTGAGGCATGAAACTGTTTCGTCCTTGTAGGAGTCTTCATTGATACCAGGGCTTAAATAATATAGCGACTGGCTGACGAAAAAAAGTTGGCCGAAATTAAGCCGAAATATGTATGGAGAAGAACACATACCCCATTATCTAAACGATATAATTTATTCATTCTTTTTTAATTTTCAATTCTAGATGTATTCAGAATAAGACTGTGTCACTATTCATCAGAATTAAAACAGAACATACGTGGCAACTTAATTGCAATTATCATGATGACCTTCCCAGCTTGGATTGAAGATGTAGACGTTTACATAGATATAAATTATTTCTCGTTTTACATACAGTCATCATGAATTCCATTCTTACCTTTGACACACCGTGTTATCCCTCGATTCTTACCTTTGACACACCGTGCTATCCCTCGATTCTTACCTTTGACACACCGTGCTATCCCTCGATTCTTAACTTTGACACACCGTGCTATCCCTCGATCTTACCTTTGACACACATTGCTATCCCTCGATCCTTACCTTTGACACACCGTGCTATCCCTCGATCCTTACCTTTGACACACCGTGCTATCCCTCGATTCTTACCTTTGACACACCGTGCTATCCCTCGATTCTTACCTTTGACACACCGTGTTATCCCTCGATTCTTACCTTTGACACACCGTGCTATCCCTCGATTCTTACATTTGACACACCGTGCTATCCCTCGATTCTTACCTTTGACACACCGTGCTATACCTCGATTCTTACCTTTGACACACCGTGCTATCCCTCGATCCTTACCTTTGACACCGTGCTATCCCTCGATTCTTACCTTTGACACACCGTGCTATCCCTTGATTCTTACCGTTGACACACCGTGCTATCCCTTGATTCTTACCTTTGACACACCGTGCTATCCCTCGATTCTTACCTTTGACACACCGTGCTATCCCTCGATTCTTACCTTTGACACACCGTGCTATCCCTCGATTCTTACCTTTGACACACCGTGCTATCCCTCGATTCTTACCTTTGACACACCGTGCTATCCCTCGATTCTTACCTTTGACACACCGTGCTATCCCTCGATTCTTACCTTTGACACACCGTGCTATCCCTCGATTCTTACCTTTGACACACCGTGCTATCCCTCGATTCTTACCTTTGACACACCGTACTATCCCTCGATTCTTACCTTTGACACACCGTGCTATACCTCGATTCTTACCTTTGACACACCGTGCTATCCCTCGTAGTGAATCAGGAATACAGCATGCCACCCTTATATTGTTTATCACTAAAGTTTGTCTGTAAATAGTAACAAAATCAGTCCTTGTAGTTCATGTTGAATACCGCATTACACGTAATCGTATTGTTTCATATTAAAATACATATAAAAATTAATAAATACTGCGACCAATGGAAAATATTACATAGAATAAATTATATCGGTGAATGAAAAAGCCAGATATGTTTCATTACATTAAAGTACACTTTGATATAATATTCTGAAGATCCATATCGGATGTCTTCTTTATTTGGTGTTCGAGTTTTTAACTTACTCCAATGACATCGAGATCAACGAATTTTTTTTTGTATTGAGACTTTCAACTGTACTCTTTCCTATTTCCTCTATTTTGAAACTAGAACCTGACATCACACAGACAAAAGCGATAATTTACCTTTCCTTGAAAACATCAAAATTGGCTATTAACTAGAAGGTTTAGAATAAGACCAATGCTTACCTGGTAGTGCCCTCGGTACAATTAATGCGCCTCTGCGCCTCTGTCAAGTATGAGAAATGTACTAGCAACAGCATAACGAAGGAAGGCTTCAGATAATCCATGGCTTCTGCAATCTGATTGAAGTAAAGTATATAAGAATTTCCTAATTATTATGACGCTTACTTAATATGGAGTAAGAATTGGGTTTTATACTGAAAACAGAAGACTTACGGTCAAATTTCAAATAAGTATGTGATACATGTTAATGAATTTAGGGTTATGGTTCCCTAGATAAAAAATATCTACATTTCAATAGAAAACTGCATATTTCTGAATTTAGCAAAATATTTAAGCGACTTTCTGTTTCTCTCAATTGGTTCCTATATATTGTAGGTTATCAGAGGCGACTAACGTGGTGTCCCATGTTGAATCGGCACCATTTTCTACAATGATGTATCTGCTGCAATTTTCACAAAACCTGATAACCTTTTTTATAGTTTTTTCCCTGCTAACTACTATTTTTTGACAATGCGTCCATTTACACCGTACAAAACACCCAGGCAGTGTCGATGACGTAAAACTATTCACAAAACACAAACAACAACAACAAAGATATGTGGGCATAGTCGCTAATACTCAATCATATAGAATGTAATATTTAGCTACAACTCTCCAAGTAAACTTAAATAACTACTATAATTACCTGAGTGTGAAAAATGTGTTATATGCTCAGATGGTTCTGGTCATGTCGGGTAACGATTTAGAAATCCACAAATCGGTATAGGTGACGTCCAGCAATGAGACTTGGAGACAAACGAGAATGAATCAGCTTACGATGAGTACAACCTGGGAACGACGAACGTCGGCTTGAGTCGATACATGACATTACAGGAAGTAAGTAGGAAAACCGTACTCACGGAACTCCATATGGATGGTGAGTGCCAGTCAGTCGTATCTGAACTTCCGGTATACTTAAGTAAGTAAATAATCACATTAGCAATCAATCAGACATGAAGCAATCTCAGTGGACAGGTCATTTTATGTAAAATGTTTGCAAGCCAACTACAAATGAATTTACAGGAGAATTTAAACAACAACAGGGACATATAATATACGGGTAAGAGAGAGACTTTCTATATCTCTTTGTAAATATACACCAAATAAATACGAGTTAATTAGCCTTGATGTTTCCATATGCCATTTATCTAAATGTACATAGATAATCAATTCAAAACAGGAGTAGACAGCTGAAGAATTTTCAAACTGAGCATGTTAACGTGAACTACTTATTGCTCGTATCAATTTTCACGAGTGCCAGAAGTGCCTTTCCGGCCATAGTTCACCTTGTCAGTATATTAAAACGCTTGAAATGATAATGACATGCATGGAATAGATATATATTTACACAACAGTTGTAATAATTAATTGATGTTTTGGAGTTGAATTATAATCAAATATTGTGGTTAAAAAAGCCTTATATTATAATCTGCGTGCACTAAACTCAAACCATAGCACGCCAACTCCTAACTTACACATGCAAAACATTCTGCTCTCTTCAACATGCTACTTTGAACTGTATTTACAGTTTCACCAACCCTTCACAGCAATCACTCAACAGTTACGCAATAGTTATTGTTTTAGAACAATCTTTAACTTTTATTTTTTTGATGTCCTGTATATTGGTACGTCAGATTGTTGTGTTGTTTACCAACGTCAGTCTTTGTGCGGAAAACATTTATGCTGCAAAGGATGCCAACGTGTACACAACCATGTTGGAATTACACCATGTGTAAACTTTCATCGTCAAAAACCCCTCTCTTATAGAATTGATATAGATCTGATTGATAACTCGTGGACCTTATATTTAAGTGATTGACTTTAGGCGGACATATTGCATTATTTTTCAACATAATCACCCCCAGTATCCACAAATTTTAGCCAGCTATATTTATGGGCCTCAATGCCACTTTTAGAGAAGAGCTTTTCTTGACCGTTCAGAAAGTCCTCCATTGTATGTATCACCTGGCCAAAATTGGCACCGGAAATGGCTTTTGTAAGCTGATGGAGCGAGGTCATGCAAATAAGGCGGATGCTCAATTAATTCAAAGCCACCATCGTTAATGGCAGCCTTGTGTACAGAGGCTGTCCTGGTGGAACAACAAATGTTTTGCAGATGATTACTAGAATGCTATTAGTATCCCAGGAAACCGATGCCATAATTTTTCCAGCTTCCAGTCTTTGCCTTCTACAGCGGTGGTGAACCAGGGTTTTCCCATTGTTTAGGCTGTTGTTTGGCCTCTGGGGTGAAATGATGGGCCCACGTTTGATCCATCGTCACAAACCTCTTCAGAAAGTTAGCAGAATTTGCCTCTAAAATGTTCAGATTAGCACGCGACAAAGTCTACCTTGTGTGCTTCTGATCATCTGTCAGAAGTTTCGGTAGCCAATGGGCTGGGTGCTTTCTTAATGCAAGATCTTCTCTAAGAATGGAATTGTTTTCTTGTGAAATCCCAACTATATTGGTTATACATGTATATCTCTCTGTAACTGGCCTGTCAGCCAAAACAATATCATTAACTTTATTGACCATTTCTGGGGTTGCAACAGTGACATATGAGCATATGAAGGTACATCATTCCCTAGTGTTGCTAGAGCTTTCTCATGCAAATATTGAATCACTTCTCTTTCAGCGATTTCGTCCATTTTGCAGAAGTCACTTGCCTTATATACTTTAGAGGGCTACCTCATAAACTGATCAAATGACACTAGTCTTCGGGTACACAGCTTTAAATAGTCAGGGAATAGTAGAGCTGATGAGGAACACCGTGCTATCCCTCGATTCTTACCTTTGACACACCGTGCTATCCCTCGATTCTTACCTTTGACACACCGTGCTATCCCTCGATCTTACCTTTGACACACATTGCTATCCCTCGATCCTTACCTTTGACACACCGTGCTATCCCTCGATCCTTACCTTTGACACACCGTGCTATCCCTCGATTCTTACCTTTGACACACCGTGCTATCCCTCGATCTTACCTTTGACACACCGTGCTATCCACTCGATCCTTACCTTTGACACACCGTGCTATCCCTCGATTCTTACCTTTGACACACCGTGCTATCCCTCTTATTCTATTGCCTTTGACACACCGTGCTATCCCTCGCTTCTTACCTTTGACACACCGTGCTATCCCTCGATTCTTACCTTTGACACACCGTGCTATCCCTCGATTCTTACCTTTGACACACCGTGCTATCCCTCGATTCTTACCTCATAAACTGATCAAATGACACTAGTCTTCGGGTACACAGCTTTAAATAGTCAAGGAATAGTAGAGCTGATGAGGAACATTTCTGCCTAACTTCAAGGAACACGCCTTATCTCTTCATAAGTTATTTCTGTTTACTCGGAAAGTATCTTTTTATAAGAGGCATTACGTAAGTATTGTTGTCAGGTAGAAAATACTTATACATCTTGTAATGGATATCACATCACGGAAAATCCAGAGAAGGTGTGACCGCCATGACATCTTTTTAAATGAATACTTCTTTGTACCACTAACATACAGAAAATATGTATTAATAATCCAAGACAAACGAATAAAGTCAGTGTAGCTTGGTGCATACGACGAGATCATGCACTCTGTACGTACTTCAAATTGGACAGTGGAGTTCCGGTATATGATAAAGATACATTACATTACTGTGATTCACGCTCCTATTTATGTTTGTAGAGAAACTGTATGACAATATATGGAGATACCGGATGAAAGAGTAAACATCATGGACATTGCTGATGATTTTCTGTTGACGTAAATACAAGGGACAAGTATTCATTTACCAGTAACAGGTAAGTTATCAACACTTCTCATTAGTGAAGCATCAACGCTTTCATATCAACTCTTAAGACAATACAATCAGTTGACCTCAGATAACCGATTTGGAAATTCAGGCATCAAACTGATGTGAAAAAGTAAGACAATTCATAGGATATTAAAAATAAAAAATATATATCTGTAACATAACAAAGATGTTTGTATTCTGAGACTAGTCTTTTGTACAGTACTATTGAGCGACATGGTAAATGTCGTTGAAAAGTTAAGGCGTGTTACTTCCGCCATACATCACCGTTGTTAAGTTGATAATTTATACCTGACAGTTCCTATAAATCATATGCTTGCTCCATAGATGTCATGAACAAATATAAGAAAATGGCTTCATCGGAAACACACGCAGAGAAATAATAGGGTAATAACATCAAGATTTCAAATCTTACAGTGTGAATATCTAAATGTGATCACCTACATGAGTGACTTCTCAATGTCATCACCTACAGTGATACCATCCAAATGTTTTCACATATAGTTGTATCTTCTAAATTTCATTAATTACGATGTGAACATTTAAATAACAACAAATCCCTCTCCTACTCCAACCAAGAAAAAAGATTAGGTATCGCTCGCGATTGTATACCCTATAAGTCTGCAGTAATAAGACCACTTAACCCGCCTTGGATGTGCAATAAAATCCGTCGACTCATTCGTAAACGCAAACGATCTTACAAAATTGCCCGTTCTTCAAATTCTCCTTCTGACTGGTTGAAATTTCGACGCTTAAGGAATAAGAGTGCTAAGAAGGAATACTTGTGTAAACTTACCGCTTCCCTCCGCGACAAAAATAATCTGTATCGAAATTCTTGGTGGAATACTATCAAATCATTTATAGGCATTTCCAAAAAGTCAAATTCCATTCCTGCTTTATTATGTAACGGTATCCAGTACGTATCAGTTGGTGATAAAGCTATGCTATTCAATGATTACTTCACAGCCCAGTCTACTGTGAATGATACACACTCCCAAATTCCTCCCAACCAAATTCCTGATAATAAACTTAGTGATATTATTATAACTGAAACGGATATTCGAGATGTCTTAATATCACTTGACACTTCAAAAGCTACAGGACCTGACTTGTTGAACCCACGTTTACTTAAAGAAGGTGCCAACGAATTAGTCTTACCACTTTGTATTTTATTCAACTCTTCTTTACAACTTGGTATATTTCCTAATTCTTGGAAGATAGCCAATGTAATACCTGTACATAAAAAGAATGAAAAAAATGATGTTAAAAATTACCGTCCTATTTCTTTACTTAGTATCGTTGGCAAAGTGATGGAAAGGTGTGTATTTAAATATGTACATAATTTTCTAAATAAATATAATTTGATAAAAGATTGCCAGTCAGGATTTAGACCGGGGGATCCTACAATTAACCAGCTACCAAATATAACTAATGACTTGGGAAGGGCAATAGATTCTGGGAGGGAAGTACGTATTGTTTTTTGCGATATAAGCAAGGCTTTTGATCGTGTCTGGCACAAAGGTCTTATACATAAACTTGTCAATATTGGTTTAGATGGTAAAGTAATTGAATGGTTCAAAAACTACTTAACACATAGAAAACAAAAAGTTATTATTAATGGGGCTGAGTCCTATTTGTCTGATATCACGGCGGCAGTTCCTCAAGGGTCAATTTTAGGGCCTCTTTTGTTTGTACTTTTTATTAACGATATAGTCACCGAAATTGGGTCTATAATCAAGCTATTTGCTGATGATACGTCTGTATATGTTATTGTTGATTCACCTTTGTTGGCTGCTGAACTTCTGAATAGTGACATGGAGAAAATTTATTTATGGTCTAAAGCTTGGCTTGTTGATTTTAACCCTCAAAAAACTGAATGTATGATTGTTTCTAGAAAAGAGATCCCCTTAATCATCCTAAATTTTACTTTGATAATACCCCCATAACAAATGTAAACTCTCATAGACACTTGGGTGTAACTCTATCTCGCGACTGTAACTGGACTACTCACGTTGATATTATTATTGGTCAAGTAACATCTAAGCTTAATATGATACGGAAATTAAAATTTACTCTAGACAGGAAAAGTTTGCAGATTTTATATTTTACCTTTATTAGGCCTGTAATTGAATACGCTGATATTGTCTGGGATAATTTAAGCAACGAGTATGTAAATAAGCTAGAGAAAATAAATCAGGAGGCTGCCAGAATAATATGTGGGGCTACTAAATTAACTAATATAGATAAACTGTATATAGATACCGGGTGGGAAACACTAAGCGAAAGAAGGAGAAAACACAAATTAATCCAATTTTTTAAAAATGTTTCATGGTAGAACGCCTGAATATCTGTCCCGTCTGGTACCTCCTAACATATCTGACACATAATTATGGCACAAGACATGGTAACAATTTAATCGGTGTTAGATGTATGTCCGAATTCTATCGCCATTCATTTTTACCCTCAGTGATTACACTTTGGAACAATATTCCTGAAGAAATTCGTAACAATCCCTCACTATTTTCATTCAAAAAGTATCTTAATATCAATTCCAGGGGACGTCCGCCTGAATATTATTATGTAGGGTTGAGACTAGACCAAATATACCATACTAGATTACGGCTTGGATGTAGTTCCTTAAAAGGTCAACTCTTTCGGAGAAACCTAGTTGATAGTCCCATATGTGCATGTGGATACCCATTTGAAGATAGTTTCCATTTCCTGTTGCAGTGTGCCAATCACTCTGCCCCAAGACGAAGGTATTTAACATCATTGACTTACCATCTTAGTGTTGATTTACTTTTGTTTGGCGATCCACTTTTATCTTATGACCAAAATGTAGAAATATTCATAGCTACTCAAAAATTTATAAAATCGAGTGAAAGATTTAGAAATAGTACCTAGCATCCTATCAATCCAACCGGGGAAATTCATCAATTCATGTATTCATGTTTACAATATTTATACTTATAAATTATGCACTCTTGCCTAATTTTATATACCCCCTTTTCTTTTCTCTTCTTCCATTTTCTCTTCCTTTAGTTGTAAACTTGTTCGTTTTATATTATAAACATTAGTTAAGTTACATTATAATCAATTCACTATATGCTGTCAGTGTAAGGGTTAACATGTAAAATTGAAATTGCTGTATTGATGAGACGGACTTAGAATAAGTACATTTGTACTTGTTTCCAAATCATCTTTATGTTATGTATGTCACCAATATGTACATGTTTCACTTGCCAATACAAATAAAGTGTAAACTAATGAAAAAGATAAAAGTCTGTCTTTCTTCAGCGTCAAATACATTTGATTAAATGAACAAATTACTATGCACAGCTTAACTCAGCTTCGGCATAATTATCATAGAGAATATATTGTAAGAGATAACAAAGGATTTCGAATTCGTTACCAATTTCAGTCCTCAATACATATCGCTTTGTCGAGTTTTGGTTAATATGGGATGTTAGTTGACAACTTGCCATTCGTAGAATGGAAATATAACAACGAAAGTTAGTGAAACGTGCAATGTCTTACTTCTGTGTGAACCTTGTGCATATTATACCTATACAATGCAGGTGACGACGTCATTGATACAAGATGATACTACCAGTAATTGTAGTAACCATGGCAGCGACAGTTGCATCCCAGACTCACATCAAAACATCGGCAAACGTGAGTTCGTTAGCAGCTTCGACGCTTCTGGAAGATTACGACGTAGATGATGACGATAACAGAATCTCGGTCTCCGATATTGACGAGGAACATTTGTGTACTAGAGAAATCGTGTAAGTTTATCTGTATCACAAATAGTCCCTTGTACAGATTGTAAGACGTGTAAGAACCTATATTTCATTAAGCATTCATAAAAGTCGCATATCAATCTAATTACGAGGAAACGTATTATGAATTTTCAAAGATGACAAGAAAATGAAATATACATACTATAAAGACAAATGAAAAAATACTGTTTTGGAAATACGTGCAGCTGTTAAGGTCCTTTAGCTAATGTCATTTGCAGAATACAAAATATGCCTGGTGGGCCTGCTGTATACCTTGTCCTCATTTCGGATTGTGACATTACTCGCTTGTCCAAGTTTACATGGCAGGTTTCGTCGTTGAAGACGCTTACCCTCCTGGAACAATTGGTCTTAGAATCCTTGTACTTTACCATAGTCTTATCGAATTTGAGTTTGAATTGAGATTCTGTTGACTTTTTGGTATATTCTTCGTTTTTTTTTACACTACCGATATACGGTTCATTTTAGGGTGACCATTCATCCATATAACATTCAATATGATTCAAAGCAAAAAGGTATCAAGTAGGCACTTAGTATCGCTGATGAGTCTTAGAAGGACGAATGGCTCTACCTTATTATTAACATGATTTTTTTTCGTTACTGTATTCTCGTATGGTTCTGTGGTTCAATTTCGACATTTTATCAAAAGGGCCTGAAAACCTGATTATGTCTCTTTCTTTTCAGATTCAATTTCACACAGTTAATATCATATAGGGCTTATACGAGAAAGAAGTGTCAGAATTCAACTAAGAACTGTAACAAAGACGGACACGAGTAAGTGAACTTAGATATAGAGATCTAGGGATACGGTGCATCAGGTATTTTAAATAGTTGTACAAAAGTTTGTACAAAAAGAAACATTAAGATTGCAACTTCTAACTATCAATCACGTCAAAAATGTTGATTACAAAATAATAATAATAATAATTTAGAAAATATTTGCACTTATTATATTGACTCTCACATATCCAATAACAACACATAAAACTTAATGAAAAAATCAATTAAGTGAAGTGACAATGTAATTATTCTGTTATGGTTTGAAGGTGGGTGACTTCCGTTCGCTACAGAAACCTGACTAAGACGAGGTTGGAACTCATTTGTTGTGAGGGATACATGAACGACAGTGGAAAATGTGTCAAAGGTGAGAGCTTGATGTGATAAATATATGAAGCCTATGCTGAAGGTCACGATAAACCTTCATTATCTTTTCTTTGCTCAGTTCCAACTTTCCAGCCTCACAGGGTTTACCAAAACCCACTAGGTATTGTGTCAACAGCAAGGAAAGAGGACTAAAAACCAATGTTTTTCAACGTTCTTTCAAGCTTGTAACGAGAATAAAACAAACTATTTACATGCATTGCAGAGCTTCTATGATTTTCATGATGTTTTGTGTCTGTTATTTTCCAGATCTTTCCGATTCAACAGTGAACAAAACGTCCGATCTTACACAAAGTGAAATGATGGAGAACACGTCTCTGTTGCTGATCGCGATTCCTGTGGCGGGCGCTGTTTTTCTCGTCGTCTTCATCGCTGTCATCTGCAAAATAAAAAGAGGAAAGAAAAGGTATGTCTACAAAATATGTTTAAACAATTTCTTTTGTAATGCACCATACGAAAGACACGCGAACTGCTACTTATAAGATTAAAGACACAAAAATAGATATTGTTATATCTCCTGGTGCATATCTTTCAATAGTAATTCAATATTAGATCAGTTTTTACGGCGATTATTTTCAAACAAAATACCTTATACATATACTTTGTAGTAATTTTGCTCCTACAAATTTAGCTGCTTTGATGTTTACTCACATGAGTTTGAACAACTTAACCTAAATTTGAAGTAGGCAATATTGTTAGGAGCCAATAAAATATAGGCACATCTGTAATTTTCTTTTTATGCTCATTTCGCTTTGGTGTCAATTTTAATATCTAGTACGAAAATGATTAGAAATTGAAATACTTTGCCGAAGAAGATTTTAATGCCGCTGAAAGATGTTTATTAGGTCAAAAAGATCCATATAAATCATTTAAAATCGTGATTTTATATATACAATTCATAATCTAACGAAGCTGTCATTATTGCTTTAATTTGATCAGTTTGATATACTCCAATTACAAGGTTGAACCGAGCATCACAAATACATTAACAATTTCCTAGAAAAAAAATATGCATTGAGTTCATGACATCGTATGTTTTACCATTTTAGACCAAGAGAAAGGTCGTCCTTTGCACATGGTAAGTGTCTTAGTTTCAATTCATTGTATATCACTAATTCTTCAATAAAAATGGATGAATGTGGAGTCCGTACAGTACAGTACAGATATTTACATTTCGTTAGTAATATTTCAATATTTTATGATATGTTTGTGTTCTTAACGATAACATCAATATGTAGTGAGAAACTGCCGTACACCTTCTATCATTTCACACTCTCAATGTTAACTATTTTATTGTTGTGTTTTGTTTGTGATGAAAAAATTGATCGTCTACAGCGACAGAAAACATGTAAATTGTGACTTTAGTATACTGATATACATATACTTACTTTCTACTACAAAACATCTTTTTAATTACGTTTGATACAAATGAAAATGCCGGTCAAATATACTTATATTTGACTTTATATTTCAGAAAACCCGATATATGACAGCAATCTTGGTCAATCCGTTGTTATCGTGGATAATACGTGTAGCAATGATGTGCAGTCCAACCATAATGAAATAACAGATACAAACACCAAATAAATTTCCTTTTGGGGATGGGGTGAGGTTGGTGGTGTAATCAAGTTGGAGATGAGGTGAAGTTGGCTTGGGGTCATTTAGTACGCAAACATGAAGCATTAGCCTCTTAGACTCAATGTGACACACTTAGAAAACAGGATGAAGGTGCATTCATAATTAATAATGTTTAAAACATTTTCAAAACTATACAGAATTTTGTCCATTTTAAAGTATGTTCCTTCTGTAATTAACGATGGTTTCGCACTGGTGACAGAAATCATTTTACCATGGATATAAAATACATCATTTACTCTTATGTAATATAGTTCAGAATTCCAAAGAAACCTGCTACAGGTAAAGAGTGTCGATAAACTACTCAGGTACTCTCTTAGTTGTCAAAATCTACTATGGATTATGAACGCATTTTAACACCGACGGGACCGGTTGAATTACAATTTGTTCGCTATCACATCTTGCCCGGGCTGCGGTTTACGACCATAAACATTTTCTGTTAGAAGCCAATTATAGAAATTGGAGAAATGTCAGCATATACATTCCGTTGAATATTCATGAGAGTACACATTTGATTTTGTAAATAGTAAAGGTGAAGACAGAGTTGGGCAGCTTAGAAATTTTAGATATCGATGTACATGTGTATCAGATTTATTATCTAGTGAGTTTCGCCTTTGTTTACATTGAAAGTGCTTTCCTGCATTTCGACTCTTCAGATTAGTTTAAACATATTTTATTGACAATGACATTGACAATAGGATTAGTCAGTAAGTTTTACCAACTTATAAATGACTTCTCCCACAACATACACATAAACATTTACATAAATATGATCACGTGGTGACATGAAACTATTATAATAGTCATTTTTATGTAAAATGTATAAGTGGACAAAAAATAAAGAAAGAGACAGAGAGATAAGAACAGGGTGTGGCATAGGGAAAGAGAGATAGAGAGAGGGATGTAGAATGGGAGAGAGAGAGAGAGAAAAAAAGGGGGGGGGGGGGGGGAGGAGAGAGAATTTAAGTGAATCTTCCTGACCTTCCTAGGAATGTTTGGACCGATTTGGCCATTTTAAGGTTATCATCCACAGAGATATTAGAGTCACCATTGCAAAGAATATTTACATTAACAATACCGTCATACCATATTAATTCTTGGTATAGTGCTCTACGTTGATCAGCATATAAAGGACAATTAAAAAAATGATGATAAGAATCTTCACACGGGTGCCCACATTGACACTCTGGTGAATTTACAAGATTAGCCCTAAAAAGATCATAATTGAGTGGACTTGCACGGTTTCGGAGACGACAGTGGATGATATTTAATTTTCTGGAGCCATAACTAATAACTCTTCAGATGACACAAATAGGGGCGTAACTATCAAGATATGGGCGTTTCGAAAGAGGAGAAAGGAAACGCCACGTTTACCACATTCGCCTATTTGTCGATTGCTTTATAGAACTGTGGTAAAGAGTTTAATAACCCCAACAAAACCAACAAACTGCATATGTGATCGCCTTAAACAGCTGGTCGCTGCAACTTTTGTCAAAGCCGGAACGAGAGCATCAAACACGTTGACTGGATTTCAGTAGGACAAATTAATCCAACATGCGTTTGCTCACGTACTGTAACATCATGTCATACGTACACGTGTAGCTGATTAAAATGCCGTGTAAGATCATATTATGTTTGCGCTAATAACTTTTCTATGTATTACTTTAATGGCGATATGTGTGTGTGCGCTAACTCACCACTGCGCTAATCAGTCAAAATTTCGGACATGCGCCAAAATTTGAGAGCGCCAGATAAGTAGATTTAAAGTAAATATTTAAGTGTCACATTTAAAAATAAGATAATCAAATAATACTGTGTAAATGTCAAAAATAATCTTAGTTCTGTCTGTATTGCAATTTGATGCACTATGTATACATTTTGTCTTTTTTTTTCAACTGCTGTATCGTAAAACACGTATCCATCACAGCTTCAAATACTTTTATAAATGCTTAAAATCAACTGACTCGTCAATCTGAATGTTCTTATTCCAACTTGTCAGGGTTCTATATCCACTGTACAATTTGTATTTATTGTGAGTAACAATATCTTGGTTGTCTGGTGAGCTGATTGTAGTAATTCTTGCTTAAGAATGTTTCATATGTATGCCATATTATAAGTGAATGCTTATCGTCAATTCATTTCGTGTAATTTTTTTCAAGGCCAAATACAATCAAATACTTCTCAAAAACAGTCTAGATTATCAAATAACTTTATTGTAATATAGGTACTACATGTATGTGTAATGACTCTTGTTGAAGTATTTTGTACACATCTAGGTATCTTGTCAACTTAGTCACCCCGATCCATGTCATTTTCTCACAATGACTCCACACTCTGCGCTCATTCAAACGCTCCCTGTTTTACTTTCATGTTGCTCCTTTCCCTGCTATCATCTCCTATTTTCATCCTATCCCTCTTGTCTCTTTTGCTGTCCATATTTCGTTCTTTACCAAATCCTCTGTCCGTCCTGCTGACTACTTCTCTCCGTTCTCTCTTACTCCTTTTCTTCTTACCAACTGCTTAAGCTAGCTACCAAATCGCCCATTTTTTGGCATATTGTCTATTGCGGTCCGACGCGCATACAACCGTTACCCGACGTAATGAGTAACGATCTATGTGTCTGGAGAGCCGTCATATGTTGTTTTTACTCCAAATTATCGACAGTTCTAACAAACAAGTTTCCACTTTTCAAACACTCCTGTCGATGCATTCTCGTGCATATTTATTACAAATGTTAGATGTTGGATTTTAATCTTGTTCCTTACGTTTGCACAAATGTTTACTCCAAATTCAAACATTGCAATTCTTATCTTTATTCTTTTGATTATTGCTGGTGACGTCCATCCCAATCCCGGTCCAAACTCAAACAACAGTTCCTTGTTGAACTCATTAAATATATTCCACTTAAATATCAGAAGCTTGAGAAACAAGCTTCATTATATTGAATCACTGACTGGTGACATAGATGTCCTTTGTCTCTCCGAAACACATCTTGTTAATACTGTTACTAATGAACAAATTAGAATGGATGGTTTTTGTAACGAACCCTTCAGGAAGGGTCGAAATATGTTTGGAGTTGGTGTAATTATGTACTATTCTTCTTTTTTAGTTGCAAAATGATCTTGAATTTGATAACGACAAAATCACCGGGGCTCAATTTTGCTATAAAAGTAAAGTTTTTGTTATAGGTAATTTATATAGGCCTCCTGATACTAGTAATTTGAACGGTTTGTGGCAACTTGTATATTTCTCTTGATCTTTTGAAATTACCAGTAATGTTATTGGGAGATCTCAACATAGACTTTCTGAAACCTCTCCGTGGCGAACCATCTATCATACTTGCATCCTACAACCTAACTAACATTATTACAGAAACTACCAGAGTCATCTTCTTTATTAGATCCAATTATAATAAGTTACAGTTTGAATATTTTCTGAAGTTACGACTATAAACGGATCTAGTAGTGATCATGATGCTGTCTTTACTATTCTTGATGTACCTAGTATTATAAACAAAGTGGTCAAGAGAAAGGTCTGGTTGTACAATAGAACTGACACTGACGGACTCAAGAAATTTATTTCTGATATTCCATGGAGCAATGTTTTGGGGGGCTTTAATGATGTAAATGATATATGTGAATTTTAGCTGCTAATATTTTAATTGCTGCTAATACCTGTATTCCTTTTAAGGAAGTTCAAATCCGTATTCATGATACACCTTGGATGAATAACACTGTACATCGTCAAAAAAGAAGGGATAGATTGAAAAAACAATATATACGGAGAAGTAGTGACTATAATAAACATAGATATCAGAATGCAAGAAATAAGACAAATAATATGATTAAGCGGGAAAAAGAACTTTTTCATGAAAATATTGATTCTTTTATTGATAAATGTAAAACCGAACTTAAAACATATTGGAAACTGTTGCGTCATATGATGAAAGGTAAGAAAAACGTTGAAAACCTCCTCTTTATGATGAAACGTCCCATGAATATACTTTTAATGACAAAGATAAGTGTGAGCTCCTAAATGACTATTTTTCCTCCATATCTTCACTTTCCGATAATGACAAGTATGTACCTCACTTAGAGAAAAGAACTAATTCTACTCTTTCAGATCTTATCATTTCACCTACTGAAATTGAGGATATAATCCACTCACTTCATGTAAGTAAAGCTTCAGGTCCAGATGGAATTAGTCATAGAATGTTGAAAATCATTAGTAATTTCTATACCCTTTCTATTATCTTTAATTTTTCACTTTCCCGAGGCTCTTATTCCAATAAATGGAAATTTGCTAATGTAATGCCTTCTTCAAATCCACAACAAAGTGTCAAACTACAGACCTTTCTCTCTTCTTCGTTGTATCGGTAAGCTATTTGAACGCGTGGTGTATAAACATATATAACTTCCTTTTTGATAACAGGCTAATTTACAAATTTCAATCAGGTTTCTTTCCTAATCATTCTTGCACTCATCAACTTATTGAGTTGTATCGCACTCACCAACTCAGCTTAGAAAAATATGAACATAATGCACTTGTGCTTTGCGATTTCTCTAAGACCTTTGACAAGGTTTGGCACACTGGCCTTAAATATAAACGAAAACAATATGGAATTAATGGTAAACTTCTTCAATGGTTCTTTAGTTATCTTTCCAATAGAACACAATCTGTCTTTATCAACGACTGTTGCTCTTCTGTGAACACACCCAAGCTCTTGTATTTGCTTCTTAGGCCATTTTCAAACCCAAACTTTTACAAACGACACACAAGTCGGAATAGAACCTTTCGAAACAAAAGAATTAGATATAGTATTTACATGTAGGAAACAAATATTTTCTCTTTAAAAGTTGCATCATGCAATCGTTTCATCTTTCTAGGAGATATTCAGCAGGTATATGCCAATTAAAGCAGCTGAAATAGCACCATCAGTGGGCCGGGCAGGTGCGGAGTGTTGTTTTCTGTCTCAGAATATGGTGTTATCCGCTCAATAACTTCTAAACCAAAAAATGTTAGTAATTATATATTTCACGAATGAAAACTGCAAACATTTGATCACCGAAATGTGTTAGTCATTACAATCTTGCACTTTACATACAAGAGATATCTAGATTTCTGTATTTAGAGTTGACTCCCGAAGCACATATGAAATTTGAGAAACGTCTACAAAGAAATAGCGATAACAATTTTTCATGTGCCAGACGGACAAACCACAATTTGAACAGTCCATAAGGTAGCGAAAATGATATAAATATCAAGGATGCAGCACAAGGGGGTTGAAGAGATGTCCGAACGGTGTGATTTCAAGTCATTTTTTGATTGAGCTAGTCGAACGCGCCTTTCACAGGAAGTAGAAAACGTAGCTCCTGCGTACAATATACTTCCGGAGCCGGGACCCACGCGCAAGTTGTGGTTTCGTTGTAATTTTACACTTCGAAATAGTTGTCAGACAATCATGGTGACCATAGAACAACTCTACAAAGATTTTGGTGTTCTTGCAGATGCTAAGGATAAGGCAGGCGAGGTAGGTGTTTTAGTTATATTGCCAACAGTGCAAACGTCATCAAAAACAATCGTGCAATTTTGTAAGTTCTGACTCTGAGTGACATTAAGAGCTTGATGCATTACATATTAATCATAATGTAAAATAATTCAACATTCTGCTAAGCAATACCATTTCTTAATTATTTGAAGGCACATGATTAAGATATTTCTCACATATTGGATAATTTAGGGCGAATCCGGATACTTTCTTTGTGCAGAATTATGACAAATCGATAGACAGGTACACGTCTTTAGATTTGAGGGATTGCTTTTATGAGTGCGGATGATTTTAACCCCATAACTTCTGTTTATAGTGATGCGTCGGATTGTCAATGCGTTCTCTTGAATGCCAGTTGTCTCCAATTTGATAGAGAGGAATTTTATGATGAAGAACACTTATATATATGTATGAAACAAACCAGTCTGTGATATATCATGAGTATTGTAATACTAGATACGTATTTGATTTCAGCACGAGAAAGAATATGAATCCATATTAAGTGCCGTGAGTGGGGGACCATCAGAGAAGAGGCTAGCATCACAGTTCATCGTCAGATTCTTCAAGCACTTCCCAAAGCTGGAGCACACAGCTATAAATGCTTTATTCGATTTGTGTGAAGATGACGATGTCATGGTAAATAACAAAGAAAGGAAACATACTATCAGAGGAAACATATTTAAGTGTTTAAATTAAAGACACTTCAAATTTTCTCGAGATGTCTGATGACGATCAATAACTTTCATTAAGAGGATATTTAAATCACATCTGACTGAATGAAGTGAAGACTTAACTCAGATATTAACACCGTCTCCATTCTTTGCCAATGGCAAGGGTTGAAACAAACTTGTTACATGTAGGAATAGGCAACCTCATGGCTTTCTAGCTATAATTATGAGGTAAATAGTCATTAGAAACAACACAGGTACCTAATATAGACATTTGCATGTGGTTATAGAAGAAAAAATTGTGATATTTCATGTTCGATTATATCATAACATAAGTTAAAATTTTTGTTCAATTTATGGAGGGATTATTTGGTAAACAGAAAAGCTGTAAGTCATAATATAACAGTGGGTAAAATTGCAAAGTGTTGGATTGAAAGGGATTTGATAGTACATGTATCCAAAAAACTTTTGACTTTTACATTATCTTTAATAATAGTAGCCTTATCAGTATCAGTTTGAATCGTGAACTGATGTAATTACCCTAAATTTGATGAATTCCATTACATCTCTAGTAATTGTACTCACCAAATTTAGGAAATAGTCAACTGATTTGAACTTGCCTCAAAGTCTTACCATATTAAATGTATTCACAAGAAGCTATGGTAATTTTACAAAAGATATTGATTACCATTATGTTCATGGTTGCAACATAATATCAATTTGTTTAGATCCGGAAACAAGCTATCAAAGACCTGCCAACCATATGTAGAGTTGCCACAGAACATGTACCGAAGATTTCAGAGGCTCTAGCACAGCTACTACAGTGTGATGATGCCACAGAGCTCAGTCTGGTCCAGTCATCTCTTGTCAGTCTTCTAAAAATCAACACCAAAGGTAAATACAAATTCGTTGTGAAGTCATATAAATGCGTCCTCCTACATTGCAATTTCTTGTAATGAATTCTTTCAGTGGGTTTTGACTTTGCAAACTTGTCTCATTTCTTTCAAGGATGAAAACAGATTTTGCTCTACAATTTCCAGGTACTTTACAAGGTTTATTTACTCAAATTATGGGAGAAGATGACACAGTGAGAGAGAAAGCCATCAAATTTCTGGGAGCCAAAATAAAGGCTTTACCTGAAGAAAACTTGGACAAAGACACAGAAGATTATTTAGTTGCAGAGTGTAAAAAGGTCTGATTCACATAGTTTTATTTTAGTAATATGGTAATAATAGTTTTATTTCAGTGGCAGGGTAATTGATGTTGCAAATTGTCTCAATGAAATATGAAATTAATTTCTATATGATAATCAGGGGTCTTTCTACAGAAACCAGTCATAGGTCAGATAGAAGCCAGATCCTGTCTAAAGAAACTGGGACCTGTCTGTATTAACTAGTCGGTGGTCAGGTAGAAACTGGGACCTGTCTATAGAGACTGGTCAGTATTAAGGTAGAAACTGGGACCTGTCTATAGAGACTGGTCAGTATTAAGGCAGAAACTGGGACCTGTCTATAGAGACTGGTCAGTATTAAGGCAGAAACTGGGACCTGTCTCAAAGACCACTCACCAGTCAATTGTCAGGTAGAAATGGGAGCTTGTTACAATCTATGCTCATCATTTTATTTTCTTTATTAAAGAAGTTAATGAGATTATCCTGTATTCAGAAGTTAGTCCTTGATATTATATTGTAAAACATATATAAAAACTGATAATGTTGTTACGAACAAAAACATAATAAAATAACAATGCAATATTGTTTTGTTTTATGAAGGTGTTACAAGATGTTACAAAGGATGAGTTTATTTGTATGATGGACATCCTGAAGGCCCAGAAATCCATGAACACAGTACAGGGAAGACAACAATTGGTAGAGATAGTCACAGAACAGGCAGAATTAGACCAGGATTTTGTGGTATGATTAGTGATTTGTGAAGTTAGAAAAACATACAAACAGAACTGATAATTAACCAATTTCTTAGTTATTTTCCGTTGATTTTAAAAATTAATGATTGTATTAAAAGTTTGTGTCAAAGTAATTTGTATGCAGGAAAAGTCTGATCCAAAAACATAGTTACAATATACGTATTTGATTGACAGCGTAATTAGTAAAGATGTTTGAAGATTGTCGAAGATTGAGTACAGTCTTACAAGGGATTATAACCATGTGTATTACATGTTTGTGGCTTCATTTGAAAAAAATCTTTAATCAGATGCTAGTAATATAACATGTTCACCTGTCGGTACAATCAATATCATAATAAAGGAAAAACTAGGGAATATCCATGTACATCTTTTTATGTCTGTTCATTAGACCACTACACATACAGAAAAACTCATTACTGCAAATTACTAGGACTGATTTTTATCACCTCCAAAATACCTTCATTTTTCATGACAACTTAATGGTTTTGTAGGCTAAAGAACCAGACTGTGTTGACAAACTGATGCACTGTATTAAACAAGCTGTGCCACTGTTTTCAGTAAGTATGACATACAAATTTACTATGGTCCTTATTGTCTATGTTTCTCCGTTTGATTTCAAAGATATACTCGATAGCATTTCAAGTATGACAATTTTGATATTACAAGGAATCAGAAAACAGGTTGTTTTGTATTGTCATATTCAAATATAACAAATGGGAATCCCAAAATTAAGCATAAGTAATTATAACAATAAATAAGAGAAGGGATATGGCTATCAGGGTTCCTTGAAGTAAGTAAACCCAAAGTGTAGCAAGGATCAAGTATTTAAACTTAAAACTGAATTGAGAACTAAAAGATTGTAAAGATGTGACAATGTCTGACGTTAAAAAGATTGTGGAAGATTGTGCTAAAATAATCCTTGTGGAATTATTCAGATCTGGTAAATATCATCAATAAATATGCCAAATCCTTTATACTTTAATTTACATATCATCTTTTGATTTTCAGAAAAATGTACATTCAAAGGCTTTTGTTGGTTACATTTGTGATAATGTATTACCATCATTAGACGAACTTGCAAGTCCAGAGGAAGGAGTAGATGCTCAGCTAGAAATGTTGAAATTGTTTTCAGAGATTTCAGAATTTACTGGGGATCTGGAAAATTTAGAAGACCGAGTGACAAATGTATACAACTGTTTAATTGTAAGTGTTATTTGCACCCAAATTCATAGTGAAATTTACCTTTGTTTGGATTTTTGTGCAGCAATATTTGAGTGTGGAATTTATGCCTCACCCCTAGTCTTCAATGCTGCTATATATCTCTGTTTATAAGGACTCACCCAAATTGCAAAAAATGTGTCCTGAACCCTCCTGAAAAAAATCATAAAAAAATATCTGACCCTCTCATGAAGAAAACTTGTTTTGTTCATTGGTAGATATATTACATGTTTATTAGTGAAAAAAGTCAACAAGTATTCAAATTTTGATTTAATAAAAGACAAACATACATCGGAAAATGGCTTGTTGTTCAATGTCTATGAACTGAGTAGGTTTATGATTTAGCTCTGTATTATTCATTTTTAGAATTACATGCCTGTACCTCCAGCGGAAGAAAACGATGGACTTTCAGTGAACGAACAACCAAAATTCCATTTCTCTTTTGTGGAGTGTTTAATGTTTGCTTTCCATCAAATTGCAAGAAAATTACCAGGCTTTCTAATAGATGATGCTAATGCTGAGAGATTAAAGGATTTCAAATTAAGGTATTAATCAAATATATATTCAATATACCTGTACTACTTCAAATTTGTAACTATGGAACAAAATCATTACTAACCTGTATATTTTCATTGTACGAGTATTTACACCATATTTCAAGTTGTAGCATTATGACACAACGTTTCTGTGTTGTAACTTCCTTTTAAATGTTAAGTTGTAAGTACTTATTTTTTTATGTCCCCCAACTTATATTGTGTTTGCTCCATTTCTTATTATTATTATTTATATTATTCTTATTTCTTCCTCTTTCCTCCGCCGGTGAGGTTTCCGACGCGTTTCTCAAAAGCTATTGCTTGGAATTTAACAAAACTTCACATACATATTCATACATGCGAGGCGGAGTGCAGGCCCCTTGAATTTTTCCAATCGGTCATCTGAGTGGCCAGCTGTGGTCAAAATTTGGCCAAATTATAGATATTGTCCGGTTTTCATGAAAATTGGTATACATGTATTAGGTGGCACTAGGAGCAAAATGGCATAGTCCATTTTTCATTTGGCCATCGATCGGTCAGCTGTGGTCAAAATTTGACCAAATTTTAGGTATTGTCCGGTTTTCATGAAAATTGGTATACATGTATTAGGTGGCACTAGGAGCAAAATGGCATAGTCCATTTTTCATTCGGCCATCGATCGGTCAGCTGTGGTCAAAATTTGACCAAATTTTAGATATTGTCCGGTTTTCATGAAAATTGGTATACATGTATTAGGTGGCACTAGGAGCAAAATGGCATAGTCCATTTTTCATTCGGCCATCGATCGGTCAGCTGTGGTCAAAATTTGACCAAATTTTAGATATTGTCCGGTTTTCATGAAAATTGGTATACATGTATTAGGTGGCACTAGGAGCAAAATGGCATAGTCCATTTTTCATTCGGCCATCGATCGGTCAGCTGTGGTCAAAATTTGGCCAAATTTTAGATATTGTCCGATTTTCGTGAAAATTGGTATATATGTATTAGGTGGCACTGGCGGAGGATAATGGCATAGTCCATGTTTGGCATGACTGCAGGTCTGATTATTTTTATCATTTACTGCTGAAGGGGTCATTTTGGGGACATTTGTAATGGTCCTCATTACAATTAGTACTTATTACAAAGTGATTTAAACATCAAAATCATATTGGAAGTAAAGATCTTTTGGCGTTGTTGACTGGTTACTAGTGTTTTGTGAGATTTGGGTGTTTCATAGAGGTCCCAATATCTGCCTGTTTTGCCTAAACAGTTTTATTTCATAAAGAATTATATCGGAACTGAGAATTCTTAAATACCAGCAGTAAAGGGACTATGTTGTTTTATGAATACAGTTAGGTACTCCTTATGTCTTAACAGATTCAGATTTAAGATTGGATAAACATTTCCGTTATTACTTACAGATTACAGTATTTTGCTCGAGGTGTACAGGTATATATCAAACAACTACGACAAGCACTTCAGGGGAAGTCTGGTGATGTGTTAAAAACTGACGAGGTAAGTATTGATGCTACACACCTGTCGTCTTCTCTGTAACAGGTCTTGGTGATGTTTACATACCTTGTTTGTGAAATCTTCACTCATGTGATCATATTTGTGATTGTAAGCCATATACTAGTATTTTAGCAGCAATAGCACCAATTTTACAATATATAGTGATCAAGTTTGTGGTTTGATCACTACTCAGGGCAGTTTATGTTTCTTAGGAAACTGAGTTCTAGGTAGGTACTGCAGTTGCTCTGAATAGCTTGTGACAGGCCTCCTGTTTGTGCAGTGAGGTAACCACCAGCTACCTCAAGGAGACTTCACCTGTGCTTAAAATGACTCTGTTTACAGGTTGATAAACCCAACAATCTTATTGTGTTCTCTAAAAACTATTTCAAATGTACCATATTCAATTGTGTGAGAGCATTGCAATTATTTTTAATGAAATATGTGGGATTTTTTTATTGAAATGAATGTTTCAACAAACATTATTAGTGTGAACTTTGTTATTGTAATATAATGCGTGAATCCATTATTTTAGAATTAAAACAAATAAAAACTTTACATTTGTTTTAGTTTTGACATGTATTAGAGTAGATTAGAAATAACATTTTAACGAGGTTTATTTATAGCACTGTGTTGTATTTGTGATTTATGACTTCTGTAATTGATTTAATGTGTATTTACTATTCCAGAACAAAATCAAGGTTGTAGCTCTCAAGATCACCTCTAACATCAACACATTAATTAAAGACTTGTTCCACAGCCCCCCATCATACAAGGCCATAATGACTCTCTCCTGGAAACCTCTAGTGGTGAGTATTGCTGCCCAGGCCAACATAATGCAGACAACTTGTCTGCATTTTTGCTGTTGGTGTGATTTACTCTTAACAAAATAAAAAAAATATGTGAAATTTGGTTTATAGACTAACATACTGTAAGTCTCTTAATGTCAGCTAGATGATGAAGAATCAAATTCAGTTTGGGAAATGGATTTCTATCCATCTGATATCTATGCACTAGTATAAATACCTACTACTGAGCTACGACTTTCACATTACTTTTTGTATGTGCTGAAAAACCGCTTCCCTAATTCACGAAGTTTCTGTTACACCCATTTACTGGGGTAAACATATAATATTTCCCATATATGGCTTTATTGTTAAATTGGGCTTACTCTGATCTCTGCAAGCTATAATGGAAAGTGATATGCATGCATTAAATATTGAGGATGCTTTTTGTTTAGTAGAAACCAGTTAATCATTCTTTGATGAAATTTGAAAGTAAGATGAAAATGAAAAAGTATCTGTATCAAAGAACTGATGTGTTGAGAAATAAATGTAAGAGTGTTAGTGAATTGTGATGAAAGATCTATTCTGATTTTGAATGGCTTTTACTAAAGCTTGTGTTTGGTATCAGTGTCAAACTGTATGAAATAAACTTGAAGCAAATGAATGTGAATGAAATGTGAATTTCCAGAGACAGTCACCAGCGACGGCAACAGCTACAGACTCCAGTGCCACAGCCGCAGGGTATGTACCAGTTGCTTCCTTTTTCAGGAGTATTACCTTGATAATGTGTTAGATGTGGTTGAATTTGGAGAGAAAAAGATCAAGGTCATATCTTCTGATACTAAATTGCTTTGAACAATAATGATCAGTTCACCAAGGTAATCATTTGTCACACGATTTGTACATTGACTACAATTTATCCAAACAATATTTCCTTGATAAGTAAGATATATTCATAGATACTATCATAGGTTAGTTATATGTATGGAAGAAAGATTAAGCTTAAGCTTACAAACTAGATTATTTTTGGTATTGTCATAAAAAAATTCACATTTTGATACCTTATGTGATTGTTGACAACATATGTCCCAGTAGAATTATTGATACACTTAATTAGGAGATAATCAATATTCTGACATTAATTTGTACATCATTTCTATTTGTAAATGTTTCATTATTTCCTTTGGGGAAAGGGAACCACTCATTTCTATATTGTTTTTCTCTATATATTATTTATCATTTACTTATTTCATGTACAACAAAGCCAGCATTTTCCATTTTTTTTCCATTTTTCTTTTTTATTGGTTTCGTATCAAGACATTGTTCTTTTGTAATTGTACTTTGAGTCTTGATGAGAAGCCTATTCCTTCATACTTTTATAATGCACATAACTACTAACTGGCATGTTGGTTATATTTCAGGCAAAAGAGAATCACCCCTATCACATTTGGCTCAGGAGACAAATCTGCTAAAAAAATATCAAAACAAGACAGGTCGTTGTACTCACCGCCGAGTGGAAAGTTTAGTCAGAGGGCTGGAGCGTTTAAGGAAATGACAGGAAACACACAGGGCTTTGGTAAATTGTTTAACTTGAAAACATGAATGTATTACAGATCTGAAAATTTATTGAAATTATGTCTTTTGAAGATCTGTTCGAGGGGTTTAGAAGGCTTTGTTGGTTTTAATTATAAATGGAGAAAAAATATAGCGATTTTCAAAATATGCCTTGGGTCCTGGACTCAGCTTGTCAGTATTTTGTAAAGATGCTCTGTGGTTTAGTAAATGAACTTGTGAACATCTTGAAAGTGGTGTTCAGGACTGTACATTTCATTACATTTAAACATGGAGAAAACCCTCAAAGTATCAATCAGCATTGGTATCCATAACATCTGTTCATATATATGGTTTTCATTGTGGCTTCAGGAGGACGTGGGCGTGGTCGAGGAGGGAGGCGAGGTCGGGGTGGAGGTTACAGACAGTACTGACGTGCCATTCAAGGAAGTTAACCATCAACAAGAAAAGGATATTGTGGGATTTGGAAGCTATGTTATATTTATATTTGTTTTCATTTATGTTCATAAAACATTGCTAGAAAGTAAGGTTAGTATGAGTAAATTAGAATGGATGTCTGAATGATGGCTAGTTTATAGGTTCTTCCAGGGAAAGTTAAGTATGGAAACTAGCCATCAAAAGAAATTTAGTTATGGTAGAACAGTTCAAAATTTAAATGGACACAAGGTTTTTTTATGAAATGGATTAATGGATTTCCAGAAAACTGGATTTTTAAAGTATATAGAGACAGGATATAACTTCATTTTACAGGTAAGTTGACTTGATATTTACTACTTTGATCATTTTTGGAATTAAATTACGTATATGTATTAATTATAGATATTGAACTGGATTTTTATTTATATAAAGTAACTGTTTTTAACCAAGGTTTAAGACTGTATGGAATGAGACATTGAGAGCACTGTATGTAAAGGTGAGTTATATAAGACTGAAGTAGCTGTTATGTCTTAAGGATTGTACATGTAAGTATATTAGGTTTGTCCTCTATGTAAGTTTGTCAGTGGTTTTGACATCAAAGTGTAAGGATTGTTGGCAGCTATTGAGCAATTATCATTGACACATAAAAGTGCTGCTGGCATTTTTGTTCATCCTAATGGTACAAGCTTCCAAATCCCACATTTCTTGTCTGGTGGTTTCTGGCAGATGTTTGTATCCAGGAGCCATTTTTACCACAGGCCATATCTGTGACGAGGGAACAAAGATTGCTGAGGCTGCACTCTAACACTATGAAAGGGGAAACATCATGTATCTTGTTGGAAGCCTCTCCATATGGAATTGTGATACGATGGAGCATATCCGTAGCTCTGTTATATTTCTCAAAATACTTACAGACTAGTTAAAGATTATTCATTACATTTGTGTTTGTTTATGGTAAAGAATATGGCTTTTACCATATTTTTAAGATGAAGGATATGGATGTCTCCATATTGTGGACACTTGTGATGTACCACTGACTGAAGATGATTTCAAATAACTCATTGGTTTTGAGAAGATGGATGTCAAATTTCCATTTTCTTTCTTTTATTAAGAATTTATAGAATGTATATTTCCCTCAAGTGTAAGACAAATCTGATATAACTAGAATCTAGAGATATTGCGTAGGACTGTCACAAAATGTTAAAGCTTTTGTTTTACAAGCATATCTCTTTACTGTCCATTAAATGATACTTCATTTTTTTCTCCATGACTCCATTTTCAATGGATTATTAATTTCTTTTTTTTTTCTTGCTTCTGACAAAATTTTCAACTGAATTTTAGTGGCACATATATTAATGGTTTGCTATACATAACTCATAACAGCTTGAAAAGACAATTTCATGTGATCATTGTCATGTTTTACACTGTACTGTCATTGACTTGGTGTTTATGGTATACTATAATCGAACAGTTAGCATAGCACTGTTTAATTGATAATTCATTCACATTACAATCCATCATATGTCATATCACTGTAGGTTTGAAGGATAGTTCTACATGTAAATGACAAGGTTTCAAAAACTAGTTCTCATTTTCCTGCTGTAGCAGAGATGACATGTATTTTGAAAATAAAAGTGATTTTTTAATCTGTATCATTGTTATGAATGTAATGTATCGGTTCGCTGTAGCGTTGGTTACCGAAATAAGAATCAAAGTAAAACTATCGCCAATGTTACTCTAATATTCCATGTAGAGGAACCATACTACATCTGATTTCTATCCTACATATATGTAAAGGTTGGGTGGTCGGGTGGCGCAGTGTTAACGCACTCGCCTTTCACCTAGCCGACCGGGGTTCGATTCCCGGAACGGACGTGAAAAGGTAAGGGGTCACCTGTCCGACCGCGTGGGTTTTCCCCGGGTACTCCGGCCTTTCCTCCCACAATAAGGCCCCTCGCGCGCTTACATCCGGGCCAACAAGAGTGATTAGTATAAGTTTAAATAACTTGTTTCGCAATTGTTGTAAAACAAATAAAGTTTATATTAAAGGTTTTAACAAATCTGACCCCTGTGACCTTGAATATACGTCAAGATTATTTCTTTTCGCAAATTTTGTCAGGTTTTATCCTAGGATCATTCCAGCCAAATATCAAATCATTTGGTCAATTGGTCCATAGGTTGTTTAAAGAAAAAATGTTGATGACGAAAACCGCACCACAGCATAAGTCATTTGGCCCTTCAGGCCAGGTGAGCTAAAAACAGCTTCATTTTATGGAGGTAATGGTACAAGGATCGACAGCATGGTCAAGACCTGTAGGATTAGACCTTTAGACAAAGAAAAAAACAGACAAAACCATACAATATGTGCCGTCGATAATTTGACTGGTACATGTATCTAACAATTGGATTTGGCTTGATGATTACTTAGGTAATTAATAATATAACACGTGTCTTTGTATAGAATACAATTTATTTTTACTATAAATGATTTTATAAATGCATGATCATGGACGGAGGAAGCTGTTATTGTAAAAATCATACACAACCGGTAATTTACATAGACAAAATAGTGTATCAGGTATTCACTGTACACCAGCTTATCAACCACACGTCTTTACATCAGCATGATCGAAAACAAAAATGTCAAAACATGGGCAGTATTCTAAATTACTTTCATAACATCCAAGTAACTCAGTTTTTAATTTACTTTACCAAATTCATTGAAAGCGTAGGTCAATGGATGTAACTTCTGCACTCAGGAAAATTCCACACAGGTTTTCCTGTTTACAGTCTTAGGTTTGAGTGCTTGCTTTGATTGATTAACTTAACGTTAAAAACAAGCAGTGTACATAGAGTGTCAAGTTTACAAATCCAATCTTCATCAGACTCAACATCAAATGGTAAACAATGAGCACTCCAATACATACAGGAATTCAGTAAATACTGCTCTATATATATATATACAGGAATTCTGTTAATACTGCTATATATATATATACAGGAATTCAGTAAATACTGCTATATATATATACACATACAGGAATTCAGTAAATACTGCTCTATAGATATATATATATATATATATATACAGGAATTCAGTAAATACTGCTATATATATATACACATACAGGAATTCAGTAAATACTGCTATATATATATATACAGGAATTCCGTTAATACTGCTATATATATATATAACAGTGGCACAAACTAAATAAAGAATCATATTACCTCGATCACTTCATCACCATTATTACAACAGTTAATAATATCAACTAAGCTTCATTCTGACGAAAATGTGCAAATCATTGTGTAGTCGTCTAGAAGTACATGGAATGTTTGTCCACTTTATCACAGAAATCTATTGGTACAGGTTATTACCTAGTCAAGGGAGACAACACAACTGTGGACAACTTGTCTTGTATAACTTGGTGTGTATGTGACAAACAGATTAAAAGTAGGTTAATATTTTTTGTATGTCTATGCTGTATAACTATAAATCATTTGTATTAAAATTTTGTGGAAAAACAGCACGCCAAAATACACCAAATATTTCATCCTCCCTAACTTCTTTGCAATAAGAGCTTGCTGCAGTTGCATAGGTAATTAAGCTGTTTGAATTTGATAATCAGGGAAGAAAATATGATATTTAAAATGTCAATAGAATTATTGAACAATATCCCACAGTGAATGAATTCACACTTTGATAGACTTTGATAGCACAGGTAGCAACATAAAAAAAACTGAGATTTTAAACTATCAAAGTCAATACATATATATACAAAACTAAACACCGACATTTTCTATGATACAATATACTCTCAAATTTACTTTCAATCCTGACTCACTCAACACTGTTATGTATAAAAATATAGTTACTCTTGACATTCATTCCCTCATACATGAAGATTTTTGTGAGTTTCTCTCGTACAGTATTAAATATCCGTCTTACAAGAGATCTTTTAAAACATTTTTATTCCGTCAATGTACACAGTCTAACATTCTTTCTTACATTCTGGTATACAGTGTTTCTAAGGAAATGCAAAGATTCAATTTTCAGTCTAATAGAACTAGCCTATGATACAACTCCAACTAAAAACTTTTAATCTTAAAAGGATTAATACAATTTTGAATAACATTCATTCACACTTATTCATACACAAATATCATACATTAATCACATTTCAATAAATATCCCTTCTCATATAAACATCTCTAGTCATCCCTTCTCCACACCAAGGCCAACAAAGAAACCGTACTTTTACTGTTTCCTCAATATCTATAAATGCTTATAATTAATCCTCTTTATGATACTGTTGATCAATATCTCCATATTTAGATAATGCTTGCTCTTTTGTTTCTATAGCAAATATAGCATCTGTACTATTGAAAAGAATTACTTAAAACAGAACATCAGAAAACATGTAATCTTGGATCTTCAAAATAAAATTTTTTGTTCTTTAAAAATTGACACGTTTACATTATCTTCCACACCAATGAGTTATTTACTAGGTAAGTGTTCAACATAAATTAAAACAATGCTATAACATAATTTTGACCAGGCACAGTAGTGTGGTCAGTAACACACTGCTGCTGACTGTCTGCTGACCAGCAGACTGAAGGAAGGGGTAGAAGAAATCATATGGCAGTTTGGCGAGGAAGATAGGTGGTTCTCCTACGTAGCCAGTGCTAGGCTTTGATACATCTATAAATGTCACTGATTGGCTGATCTCCACGGACTGGGTGAGGGCAGAGCTTCCAGGAGAACAAAACACGCCAATACACTGAAATCAAAGACCAGATTGGACCACAATTAGAGAAAAAAGTTTTATGATCTACAGAAGTCTAACTAATGTTTTCTCTTCAAAAATCAAATGATCAACTGATCAACCATGTTTACATGCATTTTAAATTAATCCCAAAAAATGCAGGTTTTCTCAGAAATTTCCATAACATTGAATTTGAGACAATAACATAGCAAAAACCTAACATTTAGAGTAAAATATTCTATCAAGTTGCCTATGAAAATGTATTTAGGAGAGTTTTGAGTCTCTGTTGAAAACGTTGACCAACCAATTCAAAACATGGTTATTTTTAAATCTGATTTTTTAATCTCTACTTTGACAAGAATTAAGGAAAGATCTAGACCCATCACCTTATTCCTAACCTTTGTTGTATGTAATATGTGATATTCTTGAATTATGTCTCAATAGAGTAGTATTTAGTACTGTACCTTGAAAAGAATTTGAATGGACAGTATTTTTTAAAATGTTCATAACAATAAAGTGGAAAATTTACTTTAGCCAGAGGATTTTTATATACTTACCCTGAATGTAACAAGCTGTGGATCTTCATAATTAAACTGAACACCAAGAATTTTCCTTTGTGGGTTGACCAGTGCTCCAATGTTTGCGTAAAGAATCTGGACATGCATGCCAGTTGTCACAGAACAGGTCGGTCCAGTCATGGAACTGATCACCTACAAAACAGATGTATTGCAAAAAACAACATGTCAGACTATTACTGAATGTGTAACATATAACAACAGTAAACTATTTCTACGTCAATGTTGTACCATCTAGTATTTGTTTAGGAGAACATGAAAGGTAAAATAACACACCAGGACCAACAAACAGTAATGCAATAATTGTATTATCATATATACAGTAACATATTTCTGGATTTATCTAAATAATAAGCCCATACTTGTATTGAGCCCTTGATATCTCTTTGCTGTTTAGTATAAATAACAAAAAATTTGATTCAATTGTTCTGTGATAAACCTGCCCTGAGGTACACACATTAAGTCAGAATGACAGCCGCCAGGGTTTAGAGCAAAATAAATTCAAGAATATACATAGTCAAGCCAGTTTTGTATAAGATATACATTGCCTAGTCAGCACTGTATAAGACATACATAGCCTAGTCAGTACTGTATAAGATATACATTGCCTAGTCAGTACTGTATAAGATATACACAGTCTAGCCAGTACTGTATAAGATATACAGTCTAGTCAGTACTGTATAAGATATACATAGTCTAGTCAGTACTGTATAAGATATACATAGTCTAGTCAGTGCTGTATAAGATATACATAGTCTAGTCAGTACTGTATATGATATACATAGTCTAGTCAGTACTGTATAAGATATACACTGCGTAGTCAGTACTGTATAAGATATACATAGTCTAGTCAGTACTGTATAAGACATACATAGTCTAGTCAGTACTGTATAAGACATACATTGTCTAGTCAGTACTGTATAAGATATACATAGTCTAGCCAGTACTGTATAAGATATATATAGTCTAGCCAGTACTGTATAAGATATACATAGTCTAGTCAGTACTGTATAAGACATACATAGTCTAGTCAGTACAGTATAAGATATACATAGTCTAGCCAGTCTAGTCAGTACTGTATATGATATACACAGTCTAGTCAGTACTGTATAAGACATACACAGTCTAGTCAGTACTGTATAAGATATACATAGTCTAGTCAGTACTGTATAAGATATACACAGTCTAGTCAGTACTGTATAAGATAGATATACATAGTCTAGCCAGTACTGTATAAGATATTACCTGTGCTGCAGTAGGTGCATTCCTGATGATAGGTACCCAATCACCAGTGACTAGAGGGTCAGAGTTACCAAATATAGCCACAGATCTGTTACCAGGGTCATAAGTTACTCCGTCTAAACCCTCCAATGCATTGATTATCTGTTGTTCAATGGCAGTACAATACTCTGTCACATTTTCATAGTTGAATCTGACAAGAAGACAAAACAAGTGTTACTTGCTTTCGAAATTTAACTTTTTAAAAAGAGAATTACTTCCCACATTTTTGCACTGCAGACCCATTGCTTTTTCATATTCTTGTTGTAAAATCCTTAAAAACAGTTATTCAAATATGTAAGCAAAACGTGATATTGATTTTTGTCTCTACTCCAGATATCGGCATGGTTTTCTACACAAAATAAGAGATACTATATTTACTGTTACATAAAATGTTTCATTTTACAAATCTTTGCCACTATTTACCCTCTCACTTGGTGGCAAATGCAACCACAGCATTAGACATTGTAACATAATACCTGGAAATACATTACATGATAGTAAAGAGAAACAAGATTCAAATTTGAATCCCCTGTGATGGTCACACAGCTGTAACCATGATTACCTTATCAGACAACCTGTCCTTACATCTTCTCCAAAGTTCACCTGAAGTCTGTTGGCTGAGCCAGTAGCACAGTCACCAGAGCCTGTTGACTTGACGAGGGTGAGGTCATATAAACTCTCCGATATGGCAAAACTTAAAGAGAAAAATATATTTTGGTATTGTATTTATTTATAGTTACAATCAAGAATGAAATGTTTTGGTCCTAGTTTGTTATGGTTTAAGTGTACAAAAAACAAGGGGGATAACTGACTGTAAACTTTGTGTTCTGCTCTCAGTTACTATTTACTTAGTTTTATTAATAAAATATTCCTTTTCTTGTCAGGCAAAAAATGCAGTGAATGAGTTTTGCATAATAAAGAAAATATGTTTTGAAGCATATTGTACATCTAAGAAGTTAAACGTAGCTTTTTACCTTGACAACACATACTTATGGTACATGTCAGAGATATGTAAAGCACAACCATTAGCTTAAATATCAATTGTTTGGTGATTTGTGACAAACTGTACAATTATATATACTGACCCTGTTATCGTGACGTTCACTCTTGTTGTATCTGTTTTAAATCATCAGAACAAGAAATTTCCTTCTTTTTTTTCTTCATACCATAGGTACTTTAGTCTCTATTAGTCTCTATCATTCTTCAGTATTTCTATCTTTAAGTAAAGATTTACCTGGAGTTGCCAGCATCTTCATGTATAAATTATTTCACTCTCTAAGTAAAGATTTACCTGGAGTTACCAGCAATGTTGTAGCGGATTCCAGCTCTCACAGGCTTTCCAAACAAGTAGCCAGGGTTTCCACTCTTTTCCACCACATTTGCCTCGGATGACTGTAACAGACAGAATGCAATCTCTGATATTAAGCAATGACCTTTACCGAAGTTAAACCTATTAGCTAAGGCATGTAAACAAAGAGTTCAAACTTGTTATTAGAAGATATGAAAAATATGACCAATGCAAGTTGAATATTTTGTATAATGAAATTTCGAGTGATATTGACATTTTCCATTTTCCAGCACACAAAAAAAAAAAAAAAAAAGAGAAAAAACCCTAGAGCCAATAAATTTGTCCACCTTTTAGCATGGCCAGGTCAAATTCATAAGGGAGCTGAGGATTTGATTGAGCAGATAGGAATGTATTTAAATATGTTCAATAGACTGGTGACGTTTGTGGCTAAACCTAACACAGATCTTAGTTTCAGCCTATTGTCACAGAACAATACTTCCAGCCATAGCTCTCTGATTGGTAAAGAAAATTCCAATCAGTTTACTACTCTACCCAGCAACAGTTGTATGCTAAAAACAATGCCACAATTTTTCAGATGAGTGTTATGCATGCATATGATCACTCTGAGGCAAAGGAGTATTATACTATAAACTTAAAAAAAAAACAAAACCCTGACAGGCTAAGGTGTTCCTGATACCGTTCAGATTAAGATTAGCATCAATTAGGAACTAGTATTGATCTGCTTTGAAAGTAATTCTCAGCCAGGACATTATGTTAGAATGCACAGGATTATGGTATTAGGACATCTATTTTAGTTGTCTTTCTAGTCAGTTACAGTAAAAGTCACAGACTAAGATATCTTAAAGAAAATCAAGATAGTAGGTAATATAGATATGATTATAATACATCTTTGCACCAAGTTTCAAGTTGATATTTGTAGAGTTGATTGAGTATAATTTTCCTTGATCACAGAGTATATTTTGTATCACACTTGAGGACAGCATCTTTTTTATGAAAATGAATAACACATTTTAATACAAATTTAGGGTTAGATACAGTAGAGCCAAACAATGAATTCAACTGCATCATACTAAGACTTGTCAGTGATGTTAGAGTTCTAAATTTTGAAGCCTAGGAGGCGAGAAAAATTCAAAGTGATTTAAAGAAAACAAAAAATTTAGATGTGGATGTGCACAAGCCCTATATTTCAATAAATTCCATAATTTTCATAGATCAGATAATTTTAGAACAACAGGAAGTATATGTATATTCTAGATCATACCACTATTCAAATGAATTGAAATGAACACAGAGAATGAAAGTGATGGTAACCCCTGGAGTATTGAGGATGATGACCTGCATGCTACGTTTGAATTCATTTGAATAGTGGTACAGTTCAGAATTTGCAGTGTCAGGTACGTCTGGATTTGATAGGAAAGTGATTATGCTTTACTTATCAAAAATGTTCCAATTTCATATTTATGTACATTTTTTTCCCAATTTCATACCATTACATCCAGAAAGCAGAAAAGATGGGCATCTTTGTGCCAGTTTTCATCAGTATATATAAAAGATGTTTTTATCTTTTGTTGAAATATTTCAACAAGTAGCCTACTATCATACTTACTCCTACAAATTTAGTGCTGTATTTCTGAGTGATTGGTAGACTGGTCTGGTCAATATTTCCCAGAGTCAATTTAACCCTGGCAGAGGTCACGACCTGCTGTACGTCTATCAGGAATTCAGGTATATCACTTCCATAACCAAGAATATACTCCACCTGGAAACAAATTGATGCAAGATCCGACATGATCATTGAATGAATAAAATAAAATCTTCAGTTAAAAATTTTGGCATCCTTACATTTAACTGCCACAGACTAAAATGTTTATAAATGTTTCTGATGTTGAGAGTAACACCAGATATATGTGTATTATTTATCTTTCAATAATAAATCCTCACATCTAGCCAGCCAACAAAGAACCAACTCAATGGTGACACTTGGGTATGTTGTGTTTGAAAATTACACTTAATTAAATCTTTTTAAAAAAATGACACATATTCTTTTGGAAGCCTGAATCTGGTTAAACCATGGGAAACTTTTCAAACAATCTTTCATAATTTTAACCTTATTAAATGTTTTTCTAACTATATTTGCAGAAAACATACCCCGAGTACGACATTACTACAGGTGTTGCTGGTAAAGGTTGGGTCGACTGGACTGTTGGTAGGACATGTTAAAGCTTGGCCGTTCACATCCTGACACGTCACGGAGTCTACTGTTATTGGAACTGTGTATGTGTTGTTGTACAGGTCCACTGTTATCAAGGAGAAAACAAATTGTTTAAACCTCCATCACAACAATGAAAAACTTTCACCATTATTAACTTTGAAGGAAGCACAAAAAATTACAAGGACAAAGTTGGGACTTTAAAGAATATTTTTCAACTGTCTTGTGAAAAAATTCAATGATGAATATCTGAAAAACAACAGTTTTTTTTCCAACAACTGACAAGTTAAGTCCAAGTTATATCTCACCCACTAATTGCCAGACATATTTTCATGGTACATGGATATCAATGAAAAGGTGCTTATATACTAGAAAATAAATCATTCAAATAATTGAAAAAGAGGTAATTTTAATAAATGATATGACACATTACAACTGTGACAACTGTTAGGAGTGAAAAGAATGAAGACAAAGAATTTGTTTATAGCAAAATCTAATAAGGATATAAGTTAACCGATTTATTCACACGACAAACAGATAGTTTACTACACTACAGGTAAAAGCATCATTTGGAGCAGTTGTATGTAACTCATCATTGTAACCCATGTTGTACAACTACCAGTATCTACCATGACAAAAGGAACACATACTCCCTAGCACGGGTGGTTTTACTTTGCTATACACTTCTACAAACTATGACACTACATTTAAGTAAACAATAGGCTGATAGGCCTTCATGGTCACCTGAGTTGAATTTTTGTTTTTTAACAAATGTCAAAAGCTTAAACTTAACAAAACTTATCCAATATCTAACATATAGATTAAAGCCTGTACAGCATTGCTTGTAGCAAGTGTGGATTTAAAGAACACTGTAGAAATTTGAACAAATCCAATTTTTAGAGCTAAATTTGAAATTCCTACGAGGAAATTTCAACTTGTTTTTTTTAATTGTAACAGAAAATGAATACTAATACTCAAACGTTTGACCCCTGTGACCTTGAAAGTGGGTCAAGGTTATTCTTTTAAACAAACTTGGTAGACCTTCATCCCAATAGGCTACAGGCCCATTCTCAGACCTCTTAGCCTTTTGGTTATTAAAAAGAAGTCAGTTGAAGATAAAAGATATTTCACCCCGTGACCTTGAATGTCAGTCAAGGTAATAAAACAAACTTGGTATCCCTTCATCCCAGCATGCTACAGGCCCAATATTAGTACATTGGGCCTTTTGGTCATTGAAAAGAAGGTCAAAAATGTAAATGGTTTATGACGGATGATGCATGATGCACGACTGACAAAAGATGATTTCATTAGGTCATTTGAAACTTTGTCTCAGGTGACCTAAAAAAAGTTGGACAAGCAGGTTATGATTACAGCTGCAATCAGATTACAAATTATAAATCTACTTAAGATGACCAAATTACAATTTGGTAATAGGTACACAATTTGTTCACAACAGTCTGGTTACATGTAATGCGTTGGGTTATAGCAGTCTGGTTACAGGTACAGATTTGGGTTATAGCAATCTGGTTACAGGTACAGATTTGGGTTATAGCAATCTGGTTACAGGTACAGATTTGGGTTATAGCAATCTGGTTACAGGTACAGATTTGGGTTATAGCAGTCTGGTTACAGGTACAGATTTGGGTTATAGCAATCTGGTTACAGGTACAGATTTGGGTTATAGCAATCTGGTTACAGGTACAGATTTGGGTTATAGCAGTCTGGTTACAGGTACAGATTTGGGTTATAGCAATCTGGTTACAGGTACAGATTTGGGTTATAGCAGTCGGGTTACAGGCACAGATTTGGGTTATAGCAATCTGGTTACAGGTACATATTTGGGTTATAGCAATCTGGTTACAGGTACAGATTTGGGTTATAGCAGTCTGGTTACAGGTACTGATTTGGGTTATAGCAGTCTGGTTACAGGTACTGATTTGGGTTATAGCAATCTGGTTACAGGTACAGATTTGGGTTATAGCAGTCTGGTTACAGGTACAGATTTGGGTTATAGCAGTCTGGTTACAGGTACAGATTTGGGTTATAGCAGTCTGGTTACAGGCACAGATTTGGGTTATAGCAGTCTGGTTACAGGTACAGATTTGGGTTATAGCAGTCTGGTTACAGGTACAGATTTGGGTTATAATAGTCTGGTTACAGGTACAGATTTGGGTTATAGCAATCTGGTTACAGGTACAGATTTGGGTTATACAGATTTGGGTTATAGCAATCTGGTTACAGGTACAGATTTGGGTTATAGCAGTCTGGTTACAGGTACTGATTTGGGTAATAGCAATCTGGTTACAGGTACAGATTTGGGTAATAGCAATCTGGTTACAGGTACAGATTTGGGTTATAGCAGTCTGGTTACATGTAATGCGTTGGGTTATAGCAATCTGGTTACAGGTACAGATTTGGGTTATAGCAATCTGGTTACAGGTACAGATTTGGGTTATAGCAATCTGGTTACAGGTACTGATTTGCATTATAGCAGTCTGGTTACAGGTACAGATTTGGGTTATAGCAATCTGGTTACAGGTACAGTTACATATTTGGGTTATAGCAGTCTGGTTACAGGTACAGATTTGGGTTATAGCAATCTGGTTACAGGTACAGATTTGGGTTATAGCAATCTGGTTACAGGTACAGATTTGGGTTATAGCAGTCTGGTTACAGGCACATATTTGGGTTATAGCAATCTGGTTACAGGTACAGATTTGGGTTATAGCAATCTGGTTACAGGTACAGATTTGGGTTATAGCAGTCTGGTTACAGGTACAGATTTGGGTTATAGCAATCTGGTTACAGGTACTGATTTGGGTTTTAGCAATCTGGTTACAGGTACAGATTTGGGTTATAGCAATCTGGTTACAGGTACAGATTTGGGTTATAGCAATCTGGTTACAGGTACTGATTTGGGTTATAGCAGTCTGGTTACAGGCACATATTTGGGTTATAGCAGTCTGGTTACAGGTACAGATTTGGGTTATAGCAATCTGGTTACAGGTACTGATTTGGGTTTTAGCAATCTGGTTACAGGTACAGATTTGGGTTATAGCAATCTGGTTACAGGTACAGATTTGGGTTATAGCAGTCTGGTTACAGGTACAGATTTGGGTTATAGCAGTCTGGTTACAGGTACAGATTTGGGTTATAGCAATCTGGTTACAGGTACTGATTTGGGTTATAGCAATCTGGTTACAGGCACATATTTGGGTTATAGCAGTCTGGTTACAGGTACAGATTTGGGTTATAGCAATCTGGTTACAGGTACTGATTTGGGTTTTAGCAATCTGGTTACAGGTACAGATTTGGGTTATAGCAGTCTGGTTACATGTAATACGTTGGGTTATAGCAATCTGGTTACAGGTACTGATTTGGGTTATAGCAGTCTGGTTACAGGTACAGATTTGGGTTATAGCAATCTGGTTACAGGTACTGATTTGGGTTTTAGCAATCTGGTTACAGGTACTGATTTGGGTTATAGCAATCTGGTTACAGGTACTGATTTGGGTTATAGCAATCTGGTTACAGGTACAGATTTGGGTTATAGCAATCTGGTTACAGGTACAGATTTGGGTTATAGCAGTCTGGTTACAGGTACTGATTTGGGTTATAGCAGTCTGGTTACAGGTACTGATTTGGGTTATAGCAATCTGGTTACAGGTACAGATTTGGGTTATAGCAGTCTGTTACAGGTACAGATTTGGGTTATATCACAGGTACTGATTTGGGTTATAGCAATCTGGTTACAGGTACAGATTTGGGTTATAGCAGTCTGGTTACAGGTACAGATTTGGGTTACAGCAGTCGGGTTACAGGCACAGATTTGGGTTATAGCAATAATATCAAATTAATGAGTCCGTGTTTCTTTGGATTAAGACAACCTGGTTACAAACCTGGGATAAGTACTATTGGTGTAGTAGGGACAGAGGGAGTCGTGGTGGTATTGTCTGTGGAGACAAGGTGTAGAAAGTTAGGTCCATTAATATACAAGTGAATATATAAACTTTTCATTATAAGTATGTCAGATATGTACATATAAACACAGTGCTACAGATTGAAAATCTTAAGAAAATGTTATACCAAACCACCACTGATGCAGTTTATATCAATATTAAATACAACTGATTGTGCAAATGTACAGTCACTACTAAACATACAAAACAAACAACAAACTTATCATCATCTGAAATTTGAAAATAATCCCATTACCTCATATGATAATACATGTACTGAGTAGAAATAATGAGAAATATCAAATTCATCCATTGAGAGATGTACATTGTTGAAATTCTAAAGCACACAAAAAGTGCAACTTATTTTTGGCAATTAAAACTATGCAAGAACTTATAATACATACAAAATAAAGAAATTGATAACAGTAAGTTTCTAGCAGTGCAAAAAAGAACAAAGTGCAAAATAAAGCTGATTAGCAAGAACAACTGAACACAATATTATGATTATAAAGCATGTTTAACTTCCTCATAATGATAGAGAAGCTTTAAAGAATAAAAAATGCAAGATTTATTTCTCAATTTAACAACTTATATAATTTGTCTTTCTTAAGAATCAATATCACAAACATTGTCAGTTCTACATTTACTTTATCAAAATTTTGTTATTCCCAAAATAAGAATATAGGTTAAAGAAATGAAAATCTGAGAGAATTTGACATTGGTGTAACACCCCCCTCCCACTGAAAAACACTCATGTTCAACGAAAAACATTACATATACATTCTTGTCAGATTGTTTGAGAACTACAATATATTAGGGAATTAGCTGAGAATTCTTTAGAACAAAGAGACAGATTTGCACAGGATGTTTATATAGTCAAGCTCTTTGAACACCTGAAACACAATGCAGAAGGAATCAGCAGAGAAACTAGTCTGGCAACACATATATCTGGAATGAATGAATTACTATAGAACCAACCTGTGGAGTTCGAAGGGGAAGTAACTGTGCTGTTATCTAAAGGATGAAAATAATGATCCAAATCAAATGTTACTTAATATTCTATAAAATTTTCTGACATTTAACATAAAAAATCTAGTACATCAGAAATGACACCTACAACAGAAACACACAATGAATATTCAGTAGAGATTCTGTTGAATCAGGTAATTACCAGCAAAATTTCATTAAAAATTGAGGAATGGTTTCTGAGGAGAAGTTAGAACTGAATTTATTTGCACTAAGTGTATTGACAAGAAAAGACAAGTCAAGAAAGTGACATCATTGAAAACCCAGATAAGAAAGTCATTGCTTATGCACAAAATTCCACAGGAGTCACAACAGATCACACGAGAAACTCAGGGGGCCTCAAATGCTGCTGAAATAGAAAACGTCATTACTCCTGGTAATATGAAATTCCAAAACTTGTTGTTATGAAATATCATTGTTTTACATGAATGATATATTTTATACATGATGATGTACAAACAAGATATTTTCTTGCTCATTAATCTGTCTACAGATTCCTGGTATACTTTACAAAGGATAATGATATCTATTTAAATAAAAATGTTCCGAAATCTCATTTTCCCAAAAATTGTCAAGTGATGAAGCACTACAGCATTCCATTTTGAATTTAACAGGAATTACTGTTTATTGTTTATAACTTCAGATGGAAAAACACTTTTTAAACTATAAACCACTTATTTTAAGATATCTCTCTAAAACCTGGAAATAATAATTTACAATCTTTTATCACTAATCTCAATATATGAACATGATGTAAGATATGAACTTGAAACATGAACAACTTTGGAATGGTTGTTTGGGCGTGACATATTTTTCGATGGTCTTATATTTGACAAATGTGCAAATATCAACTAAAAGAAATTAATAAGCTAATGGAATTGTAATTTTGTCCGAGGAGTAACAAAATTTAATGACTACTATAAATTAAACTACATCCTAGAGTGTTAAATTTGTTCTTTTGTATTCTGAAGTCTTAAAAAATCCTGTATCCTGGAACTGGAAAATAACACAAAATGAAAATATAATAAATTTATCAAGCTATACTCCCATTTCCAGTCATGAGTCCATCTCATTATATTGCTGTTCAAAATAATCAACAATCAATAGCATGTCCTGTAATAAGCCCACTCACTGAGTAAGAATTATCAGCACAATGGGTTTACTGCAGGATAAATATTGTTAACATATTGTAATAAATCTACAGGTAGTACAAATTATATGCATGTACTAGAATAATTTATAACAATAAAACCACATACGTGTATATCAAAGCTGACTTTTAGATATGTATGTATTCACTGTAACTTTAGCAGATCTGAATTGAAAGATTTTTCAAAACACTGTTTATTTGGAATTTTATGTAATAGCAATAGATAAGTTACATGAAAACAGTCATAAGATGACTGAGCTACTCTTGGGCTAATACACTGAAATGTCATCACCTGGACACAGCAGCATACAATTCCACCATGTGATGATATACTGACTGTGATCTAACCCCTTCTTCTTGTAAATATTAATGAGTTTTACTTGATATTAGAGTAATATGACTTAGGTCTCATCTTGATACGGGCTCCTATTTTATATACTTCATTCTGCTATGTCAAGATTCTATTCTTGAATTAGCCGTGAGCAATTAATGAAATGGGAGTCAGATCAAGTAACAATTTTAATCAGTTTCAATGTTGTAACATTTAGACCATCGTAATCAAACATGTGGTGAAGGATTAGTAAACACACAGTGAAAGTCATGACAAAGTGCAAGGAAAAAGGACTGAAGACAGAAAATAGACTTTGTTAACATAGATAGTGAAGATGTGGTAACGATTTTCTAAGCATTTAATATTAAGACAATTGTTTCAAATACACTAATTTTGTATTCAACAAATATCAAAACTATCCACTCAGTAAATGATAGACGCTGTTCTTGACTGGGAAATACTGTCTACAACTAGGCGCCTGTGTCCATGGTCGTTTAACATTAATCCTTTCACCTTATAGGAAGAGGGCAAATTAAAAAATTAAACAAAAAACATGTTTTACAGCAAAACATTAAATACATGGAGTATAAAAATATTTTTTGCTAAAAAGTTTCCTTATATACAGTAGTAGTAATACTGTGCAGTGTGTTAAAGAAATAAAGACACCCACAACACCAGGAGTGGAGGAGATTTATCATAATAGTGTAGTGTGTAAAGAAATACATGGTAGTGAGTCGAGCAGAGAAGGACTGTGTAAAGAGACTACGGATGTCAGCCATCCTGTACCTGTTGTTACTACAGTTGGAACTGTGGTCACCACTGCTGGGGTTGTAGTGTTTGAAACAGTTGTTGTAGCATTGATGTCAGTGGTGACTACGGGAACTGTAAAAATCCAAACTACTTACAACAACACACAACAAATTTGAATGGCAGATGAAAATATACTACTCACAGAGAAAACAATTCATCTACTGTAAAGTGTGGGAATACATATCAATTACAAATATAGACACTTATATCATAAACTAGTGACATGCAAAGTAAAAATCATCAAAATTAAACAGCATTACATACACAGACAAAGCAACATCATGATAAAAGGTCAACACAACAAGCATGCAATATCATTTGGCAAGTTTTAGATAAGCATATTCGCCATCACAACACATTCAATAGCAATTCATTTTATGTGTTTGATCCCTTGCAACTTAAAAACTTTTCAATGGTACAGTCCTGTAGTTAAAGAGAAAGTTTCTTTCACACAAAAGAAAGAAAAAACAAAGAAACGACAAGAACAACAACAAACAACAACATATCACTACTTTCTAATGCACCTGTCTGAGGATTCTCTCCAAATGAAGTCATCAAATTTCCACGTCCATTATCATTTCTTTATAATGAAGACCCTTTTTTCACTTGTTCAGAAGTGGTGATATGGCATTTTTTATCTTGCAATTTCAAAATGTTTCATTTCAACTGTAAATTGATGTTTACGAGAAAAAAAAATCTATACCGGTATATCCTATTTTTCATTGTAACTGTGTTTCTGAGAAATGAGAACTTCATTGATAAATCTGTGATTGGTATTGATATAGTTATCAACTTCAATTCTTTATCGGTGACAATAATGAATCAAATCAAAAAATAAGGTATTAGAGAACAGCTGAACAGCCATACTAGACCAGAGACTGACCTGTGGTGGTGGGTGGAGCAGCAGTAGTAAATGCTGGGTTGGTCACTCCTGTCTGGTTTACAATCCAGTTGAACAGGTATGGTGTCTACAATGGAATTTCACACAAATATTAAATATGCACAGGCATAACACCTTCCTAATAATTAATGGCATAATATCACTAACTAGTCAACACATCCTCTTTTAATAATTCCATTGTTATAATTTGACCACCACTCTGTAATTGTTGATTTTTCATAAAAATTCTTTCACTCCTACAGAAGTCATTGGTAAATATTTGCTGGTCCCCCCTCCATTTCAACCTGCTTTTCTTTTATACTTTTATATACAGAGTTCCTTTGCTTGTATATATCATCTCACACTTTATCTTCTAAAGAAACATTCCTTAACAACTCTATCCATTACTTAAGTACAGAACATAGAAGCAGTTGACTCACAGCGACAACTTTGATCCCAGAATAATAGGAGGAAGCCTTCCATTGGATTGTGTTAACACAAGTAGTGGCATCCAATGTGTACACATTTCGTACACACTCAGACGACTCATCTTCCAGGAATGCTGCAATAGCCAATGTAGCTAGCATTATGATTCATCACTTGACTCTGCTAATCAGCAATCAGGTAAATGGCTTGTTCTCATGTTAAAGTCTGGATATTTTTTGCTTTTATAGAATGGCATTCTGACTGTGCCTAGAGGATACATTAGTGAGGTTTGTTTACCATGTCGAAATCTTTCAGCTTCTAGCACATACATTTTATATAAGGAGTTATAATGAGGTTTTTTTTTTTATAAATTTCATATTATCAGTAACCATTAACAATTAACCAAGACCAATAAATTGATTTTTTTTTTAAATACAAGCATTATTTGACTATACTGGTGTGCTTTTCACCTCTGAATCAGTTGTGTAATGTTATTTAGTTATGCTAGTGTTATAATAGGCACATCAAACATTTGTAATATAGCCATGTTACAATGTGGAATGGGCAAGTAAAGAATCTTATAATTACCAGCTGGATTACTATCTGAACAAAACGTAGATCCAACAGTCTTAGGTACACCTAAGTAGCCCCTGGCTAGATTTTGATAGATAACAAACACTGGATCTCCACTCTGAAACATATATAGAAAAATATACATTAAATGTTAATAACCCAAATATTGTATAACTTAAAACCCTATAAAGTTTTCATGACAATTTTTTCTAAGTTTCACATTTCCCCTTGGATGTTTTGAATGAAAAGTTGGATTTTCTGTAATTCATCTTTTGTTTAAGGACAAGAATTGATTTAATGTGATATCTTATACATGAATTCATACAAAATTTATAACTCCACTTAAAATGTTTTAGATGGCATATGTAGTCCTTAAAATAAATCTGGTTTTGGGTATTTGAAGCATATCAAAAGTTTCTGAACTTGTAGGCCTTGAAGTTGTTTGTGAGTGAGGTGACAGTCACTACAGTTTAGTCCCGAGTCTAAGGAGAATGAGGTGATAGTCACTACAGTATATACCTGAGTCGTAGGAGAGTGAGGTGATAGTCACTTCAGTATAGTCCTGAGTCTAAGGAGAGTGAGGTGATAGTCACTACAGTATAGTCCTGAGTCTAAGGAGAGTGAGGTGATGGTCACTACAGTATAGTCCTGAGTCTAAGGAGAGTGAGGTGATAGTCACTACAGTATAGTCCTGAGTCTAAGGAGAGTGAGGTGATAGTCACTACAGTATTGAAGGTTTCCTACCATGTGCATTGTGAAAGTTACACAAAAAGTCAAGCAAAGTGATACATTTATGTCAATTAACTTTTACTGTTATTTACGAACTGCAACCACAACACAATCCTCTAGAAACAACAGAACAGAATGTTTTGTATCGTTGAAAAATAATGAAATTAATCAACTAAAAGAAAATAAACAATGACTTGTCACCTTGTACTCATTGGCATATAGAGTTTTGTCTACAGCCCCAGGCTGGTAGTTGGTGCCAGCAAATCGATACAAGTAATTATCAAATGTAGCTTCATCAGACACAAGGTCAGGATTGGCATAATAATTTCTCTGTACATCTGAAAAAAGGAAACAAATAATTCTATCACAATTTCTAGTCATGTGATGAATTTGTTTCAAGATGATTTTTGTAAATTGAAATTACTATGTTGAAAGTTAAGGAATTAATTACCTGGCTAATTTAAGAATTAGAAGACAGGTATTTTTTCTATATGATATAGGTAGATTTACAAATGGTCAAAATGATTTACAAAATCTATTGTGGATTAAGATTCTTTATTCTACCATCAACAGGATATGTTTCCATGGATTAACCCTTACAGTACTTCCTGATCAATTGTCATCCTGCCTTTAACAATAACAGTCAAGAGAATGACAACCACAAAAACATGGCCTAAGACATGGGGTGTTACAGTAAGTAGTATCAATCTTCAGAAAACATTAAAAGACATTACTTATGGTAAAAATGAGTTTCCATGAGCATATATAACACCAAATATATAGCAAAGTACTTTAATAATGCTTCACTCCAGCTCCATCACGCAGTACAATTAAGGTATTAACAGTTGAGCCAGTCTCTACTAACATACTTCCAGCAAGTGGTTCAACATTTTTTCTTTCTTAGATAGTTTCTCTGGCAATAACTTACTGTTGTCAAAGAAGACACAAAACAGTCCATCCTGTGTGTATTCCTTGGTGTACTGTGTGTTATCTAGCAGCAACAGCTCTGACTGGACACACAAGCGGTCATCAACACTAAGTAAAAATAAAAAGCATTACAGTTTCTACTGATGCTTGTTTTGTAGCACATTTAAAAAAGTCATCAAAAATGGTTAAAAACACAGTATAACAGAACAGCAGTATCTGCTGCAAAATTTAATAAAATCATATATTAAACTCAAGATTAAATCTGGTCAAATTCATCAAAGCCACAATATCCTGGCTGGAACTGATGTGTTTTGAATAAAGCAATCTTATTTTTATAATGGCTGACTTTTTTTCACCCAAGACTTTGTTAGCAATCTATTTTTGTTTGATGGCAATAAGCACCTTGAAGACAGTTTCAGAAAAAGCATGAAATGAAAAAAAAATGTTTGGTCAATTAAACAGTAAGACACATACTTGACAGAAGTAGGTATACAAGAAGAAAATGCTCCAATGTCATTCGCTGTACAATCAGGATCACAACAGCACCTCACATCACAAGCATTGGCTGTCAGGTCACATGGACAAGGTCCTATATCTGTGGAAATTGAAAATAACTATGTCTTAATTGTTTGGGAATACTGAATTTGTGAATAGATTATGATTTATCTTGAACAATTTCAAAAATAATTGGAAGTCCTGTCCATCAATAAGATGAATGGAAAAACAATACTTTCTGTGATATGATTTAATATCATAACCAAACTTGAAAATTTTGCAGAATTGATCAACTTGATCAATATCATTGGAGATTCATGTTTTTTTACTGATACCCTGACATTAAATGTCCTATAAAATGAACAAAATATTCAGTAGGTAATACTATCTGTCATTTGCCATAAAATAAATAGTTTTTATTTGATATAAGAATAAGCAAGAAGCTAGCTAAAGCAGAGACGGTCATGTTTGTTGACGGTGCAATCTAAGTGCTGGAGCTGGAACCTGGACATGTTTTCCAATTTCTATTTCTTTGACATCCACTGAATGAGTCATTTTTAACAATATTTTGAAAAGCATTTACAGTTTTTTTTCTGAAAAGGTTTTCCTATTAATTTGTTAATCAAATTAAAAAAATGAACATATTTCTTTATTGTTCACATATAGTTGTGTAAATAATTTGGGGCTAGCAGGATATTGTTTCAGGGTAGTAGATTCAACAGGCTACTAGTCCTTGGCTAGTGCACTGAAAACATTTTAATCACCAATGCCCCAGCGTCATTTTATAAGAACCAACATCTATTCAGTGTGGACAGTATGCAGGGTGCTCTTTAAAGGTAGATTAAAATCAAGGTAAAAGAAAGAGCAAACCAATAATTGTGCCCTGATGATGTCTACCAGGCAGAAACATATCAGCAGTCATATTTTCCAAAGGTGGCCCCAGGAATAGCTGCTCTTGCTTTTACCTTAATTTTACTGTTGTTATAGTTCATGGTGATCATCATCATTGTAAGCATCACAGTACTTCTGTTGACACATCTTCTAATACACTTGGTCACATATGCTTGCACTGATTATATGAGTATATCAATTAATAAATTGTAACACTTAGTTGTGAACATGTGGTCTACTCCTTACCAATGTTAATTAGTCTGGACTTAAAGGTATTGGTTGCTGGAAAATTCATGAAATGAATGAGAAGGCTGTTCCAGGTATTTACAACTTGATTTCTAAAGGCATGGCCCCTGATACTTGTGCTAAATCTGTTTTTGACTAATTTCTTATCATTGTCTCTAGTTACTCTTAGATGGGTCTTATATTACATTGTGGACATGGTATTTATTGTTCAGGAATTTGTAAACTTGTTGCATATCAACTGTAGGCTTTGATATTTTTGTGATGGCAGCCCTAGTTTCTTTCACCTAGATTGTAATGGTATATCCCTTAGACTAGGTACTAGTTATGTGGCTTTTCCAAAGACACCTCGAATTTTTTTAAACATATGAAACAACTTGTAGCTGTCATTTCTAAATAGGGGCAAACTAAGTATTCCAACCGGACGGGATCGTAGTTGTTACCTTAAATTTGGCTTAATGCAAGATTGTTACCCATCCGGCATCTGCGTGTGTTGCCAACCTGTTTACATCACATGATCACATCCCCCTTCCCCAAACACACACACAAATGAAGCACACATATACCTTCACTGATGTAGGCATCACACAAATGAGCTTACCAGAGTTGATTGCGACAGGAGACGGAGGCTGAGTAGGCAAGGCTGTTGTGGTAGTAGTCGGTGTTGTAGTCGTCGGCGTTGTAGTTGTCGTTGGAGTTGTTGTCGTTGTTGTAGGTGGTGTTGTTGTTGTATTATCCGCCACCGATGTTGTATTTGGAACTGTTGTAGTAGAAGATTGGGTGAAACCAACACACAAAAATAATAAAAACAACAAAATGTAAAATCGACAGCAAGCTCGCGCTTGCATTTTTGCCTTTGCCGCCATGATGTATACAAATGAAGGATGATGGGAAATAATTTGCAGAGTTATATCAAATAATTTATGTTACTTGTAGGGAATTTATTTCAATAAATTTGATAGTTTTAGAGATTACTTTCCTTTGAAGTATAAATTATATATTGCAATGGATGCTGAATAAAAACAAAACTCTGCAACGGAAATTGCCGATAGCTTCCGATTGCATACAGCGCCAAACAATAAACAAGAAGGCCGGCACAGGTGGTTTGTCTGCAAAGGTGATTAAACGTAAGTGGTAAGATATTGCAAATGATATGTATCATAATGTCGAATTTATGATTTTTGGCAAGTTTTCTGTTCATATCTTTTTATTGGGAAAGAACCCATGTTACACCATGCGTCGGTTCATATGTAAAAAAGTTGTTGACTGGTTTGAATTTCTGTCCTTTTAAAACGAAATGTTGTTTTTAACAGAGTTAATACACAGTGAAATGCATGAAAACGTTATACCAATAACCGTTATAATGTGGTTACAGCATGCACAGCAGATACGCATACTTTAAAACATGTTGGCTATACCTCGCATACTGTACGTATACATAACGACTGTGAACTTATTGTTAGCTTTACCTAACATAGGACACAGACTTTCATGTATATCGTCACAAATCCAAGGATGTCCCCAACCTGTCTAACACGTCTAAGATATATGTTATCCCAATGTCAGTAATATTTGCTATTTAAATACTTCTAATACATATTATGTAATATTGTATATCGAGAGTCGGGACGCTTGTTATAACTTTTTAAAGTGTTATTGTTATCTGATAAGATCTGAAAAATATCAAGTAACGAATCACAATAAAAGTCATCATTGTACTAAAAATTGTGTTTATAGGATTATCATTAATTTATTTGATTCCAATAAAAAAAAGAGGAAATATGATCAATATTTGCTTCATAAAAATGAGTATATTTTTTGAGCAAATAAGATTGTCATTTGGACAAATATATGTAGGTATTAGTAGGTAGTCACATACCCACCTGACAGTTGTTTTGAGTATCACAATGTTGTTCATTGTACTTCATATGAAAGATATACTGTGTAATTATATGCGAATAATGTGCTTTTTGAGTTAACGTTGTTTTTTACTTTCTGAATAAAAAGTGTCCAAACCACCATCAAAACAGCCACACTGTCTATTTCTAAAATTCTATTACTTGATGGCCAGTGCACTAGGGGTTAGTTATATAATAATTAGGTAAATATAAAGTGATTCACAAGTTCTTGCTGATAACATCTGTTTGAATAATGACTTACGTTAGTTTCTAACGTTACTTAACCAACAAACAATAATTTTTATTTCTGGAGTGGTTTGGTACATGACATAAAGTTAACATTTTTTTAGTGGTTGTCTCCATTACTGAAAAACATTCATAACCATTGTAAAATGAAACAGCAGGAGTTTCCCAGTAGGATTGTATCTGTCCCTCTTTTAACCAGTTCTGGGAGCTCTAGAATGCATTTGAAAGTTGTTTCTCTAATATCTTGAACATTGAAATTTTTAATGATGTGACTTCCAAATAAAATTTATATAAATAACAGAGCATAAGTTTTTTTGACTGTCGATTTGTTTGAAGTTGCAATTATCACTTAGTCTGTATGTATATTTCATTATTGTCGCTTATGAAAGGACACTAAGCCTGATTCTTTCATATTTATTACTCTAAGAATTACTCTTAAAGAAATACAGAGTGAATCTTAAGATTTCCCAAACATTTTAAAAGTCAGTTCTTCAAGAATCAATTTTCATTATTTAGTTGACCTTAGATTATAAATACCCCAAAAGAATCCAGGGAAAAACATGAAAATTCCACAACAGAACGGGAAAATACAAACTTTGGTATTAACAGTTTAAAGATTTTCAAGCTGCAATATTGATCAGTGGAATTGTTCTTTGATCTTTGTTTGTAGATGCCTCTGTCAGATTTTTCTTGGAATCTCCAGACACAACCTTTTATACATGAAGTCTACCCTAAAAAAAGAAAAGCACCAGGCTGTGGTGATGCTGATGGGGAGGTGGTTGTTCAGGGTAACAGTGGAGAGGTAATCAGGATTCCTTCTGTAGGCTTTGTTTTTACTTGGAATGACATAAGTAGTGTGTATCAAGTTAATAGTTGGATTTTAATTCATTTCTAATACATCCTTCACAAAGAATCAGTTCTGATTTGCAGTGGTTTGTGTAAAGCAGATTACGTATTAACATACCTGAGCATACCTTGTTTGCTATTTGACTGATCAAAGATTTGCCTGTCTCATTACTGAAAGAGATATTGATTTCTTTTCTTTGAAGTTGATGGAAGACAATGCATGTAAGAGGAGGTGTGTAGAGGCTACAGGGGATTATGTAATGGCAGAGGTGAATCACAACATGTCCGCCTCTGAGAATCTCAATTTCCTCTCCGTCCAAACATCACAACCACAGGTTGGCTGTCAGCATACTTTTGTATTAAAAAATTTATTTACCTTGATTATATAAGAATTCAATTAGGCAGTCTAAAGCATTTTTTTTCATTGATTTTACTGAAATGCTTAAGTCAGACTTTCGGAAATTGCACATAATACACTTTGATATGCAGATATACAATAGAGGTTTCATAGTTTTTAAGGTCAACGTCAAATATTTTTAGGAGTATTTTAATATGATTTTATGAAGCAAAGTTTACAAGATTTAAGTGAGAAGTTGTTTTTTATTGCATTTAGACATAAACACAGTAATTCTTGACCATTTGCCTGTCAACTTAAACGGAGATTGAGAGTCAGACACTTTGCATGGCCCTTTCTGATATGTTAGTTTTAACACTGTTTATGCATTGAATTAACAAAGTTGGATTTTTTTTAAGGGATGCTGGCCTTCAAATCCTCAATCGGATGGTTCATTTATCAACCCTCTAGTCATGACAACAGCAATGCAGGATGATTCAAGTCTGTCTGATATTCCCAATCAATCAACAAACCAGCAGGAACACTTAACACAACATCCAGTACAGGACATGTATTGTCACCAATCATCAAATAGTGTGAGTATATTAGTGCTGAGCATCATCAGAAATCTCATGATAAGATATATATCACAATACTTTATTTACAATCCATTGGTAATGTGATGCCTTTTTCAACAAGTTAAAATGGATAAACAACAACAAAATGAAAGCAAGTGTGAAGATGTATTGACTTGAAAGTGTTTTTATCATAGACTCAAATTAAGACTGCGAAGACTGCATAATGGGAAAAAGCCCACCACTGTTATACCGTGTTTAAATGAACTGAAGGTTGTTGAAGTAGTTCAACCTGCCGTTTGTCAAAATTTTGTGTCCAGAGCATAACTTTGCTTGTGTATACACTAGGATAAGGAAACTTAGTGTATACATTGATCATATACTTTGACAATGTGGCGTGTACAATATTCAGGGTCCTTTGACCTCTTAATTACAGAAATATTGCCCTTTGTGAAAAATATCTTGTCCATGGCATAAATTGGTTGTATTTAAGCAAGGATAATGAAACTTTGTGTATACATTGATCATACTAAGATGATGTGCAGTGTACAATATTTAGGGTCTGTAATCTCTTAATTACAGAGTTATTGCTATTTGTTAAATTTTTGTGTCCAGAGCATTAATTTGCCTGCATGTAAACTAGGATATTGAAATGTTATGTATACATCAGTCAAGTGAAAAGCAAGGTGCAGTGAAGCAAAGTCAGGGTCCATGACCTCTCAATACAGAGTTATCACCCTTTGTTAAAATTTTGAGTCATAAGCAAAGCTTTCCTTGCATTGAAAGTTAGATCAGGAAAATTGATGTATACATTGGTTATACTGAGAGAATGTGCAGTATACCAAATTCAGGGCCTTCAACCCCTTAAATACAAAATTATTGTTGAAATAAAGATATTTTCAGGGAGCATTCATCACCAATGCTCTTGTTGCATAGTCTGAAGTAAAAATGTTGTTTTATCCACAAAAAATGAAATGATTTTTCACAATTTTGATTGTGGAAGTGCAAGTTGAATTTTAGTGCAAATTTCTTTATTTCTTTAACATATACCCATGTATCCAAACAGCCCTGCATGCTATGGAAACAAACTTCTTCTCATCTGTTATGAATACATTGGATATAAATTTTGTCCTGTCATAGCTAATGTAAGCTGCAGATGCTGCAAACACTTCCACCAAGTGACCATCTCTGAAAAGATAGCTGTAAGACCGGTTTTCTAAAAATTCATTAAGACAACAAATTCAAATTACTGCCTTTATCCTGTAAAATTCCTGCTAATTCTAGAAATGAAATATCATAAACAGTAGTACTGCTTAAATAGCAAAAGAAATGAGTATGCTTATTTCCCCTTATTGTAACAGGAGGACTGTATGATAATGAATTTAAATGAAGAAACATACTCCAGAACGAACATCAACATCAGTGATCATCAAATGGCATACAATACTATGGATTCTGATGGTGTACCAGACCCGGAACAGTACAAATTAGAGATGTGTGACACAAATTGCTTGTAAGTATATTATTAAGTGGAATTGTCTTTTGATATAAAATAATATTATTCGTTGTATTTAGTTTTAATTTGATTTGCATTTTAGTGGAGCTATTTATAGTTGTGGTTTTGCCATTTCTCAAGTGAAATTTCTAATTTAATTATTTAATCATTTAAAAATTCAGCGAATGATTTAAGAATATTTTCAATTTCTGTCTAAAAATCTTTTCTGGTAGGAAGATCCCTGAAATAGAAGAAATGCTTTTAATAATTTTTTTTGACAATATTTCCAGACCACAGCAGTAGGAACAGCTTTATACAGGTATTCTTGCTGCCTGTATCAACCACATTCATTACTCAACTCACATCATGGGTTGGTCATCCATAACATTAACTTATATTCATTTGTGTGCTTTGTCATTAAAAAAAATATTAAACAGAAAAACACAGAAGCATATCAGAGGAATGGTTGCAGTGAAAAGATGATAATTACATGTGTAGTGTTATGTATCAAGAATTTCAAAATTCCATCAGTTTTCTTTTCACATACCAACATGTTTGTATATTTTGCTTAAATCATTTTGCATTCATGTGTGGTTTTTTACGTCACCTGAGACAAAGTTTCATGGTGACCTATTGCAATCACCTTCATCCGGCGTCGTACATTATGCTTTGTGCATCCATAAACAATTTAACATTTTTGACTTCTTCTCAAGAAACTCTGATCTGATTTCAATGAAATTTTGCAGAAACTTTCCCCGGCCTAAGATGAACGAAAAAGGGGTCAAATTGACTTAAATTTCAAAAAACTTCTTCTCAAGACCCCGATATGATAGAATCAAATACTCTTCATGAATGGAATTATTTTAAGGTGCTTTACCAAATTTATGAATTTCATGGCCCCAGGGTCACATTTTTCGGTGGGGAGGGGGTAAATGTTACTGTAGTTTATATAGGAAAACTAGATTTTTTAGCATAATTTATTTAATTTTCATTGAAATATTTCAAATTTGGTTAGAATTATGAGTGAAGGATGACAGCTTGATGGTATACCCATTTTGATCCTGACTGACCCCTGGGGGCTGATGGGTGTGGCCAAAAAATGTCAAGTTATATTTTAGAGCTTAAGGTTAGTTATTTTCCATTGGATATAGCTTTAGACGAATTATCAGTATAGGATGACATTTTTAATGGTATGCATGTATTGATGCTGGCTTACTATATTCAGTGTCACAATTTCTGTTTCATGACCCTCGATGACTATCCTTAAACCTTTAGATTCAATATTACTTATCTCAGGTGACTGTTAAGGCCACTAAGCCCCGTGTTCTTTTTTACTATTTTCCAAGTAAAATTCCTGTATCTATTAGAATAAACTACATAAAAAAAATGAAATTTGATGCCAATGTATACTATACTGGTTTGACAGAAATTTTGTACACAATACATCAATTCTTGTTAAATTAGGCATAGCCTCTTCAAAAGTGTGAAAAAAGTTTTAACTTGGCTATGTAAGAATATGTTTAAGATACAGTTTTGAAGTTTTCTGGAATGTTAGGGAGCGGGGGGAGTTAAAGCTATGTTGAAGTAATTCTTTATTGGTAATTCTTCTGCTGTCTGATAACTTTCCATATTTCATTAGACCTATGAATACCACAACATTCCCATCTATTGTTTCTTTGGTGAAATGGATGTCTTCCTTAAATGCCTGAGTAGAGTTTTCAATTATTTTATTGAAGGAACTGTTGGTCTTACAAAAATGTTCAATGATTTTCAACTTTTAAAATATTTTGATATAACCAATAATTTCTAATCTCTTCTTGTGATTACAAATGTTTTACAGAAAAATTCTCATTTCTTAATTACTTCATATCACTGTCTATAAATAAATACTACCAGGGTATATAGTATATAATAAAAAAAAATAGGATTTAGTTTTGTGTGATGTATCAGCAGTGTTTTGAAATTAAGTAATCATGTTTAACATACCCTATGTTTAATATGTATAAGGAACTCTTCCATTATTGTATTAAGTCATTACTGTTTACTGAAGATTATGAAATCTGTTTGTTGCCATGTAAGATTGCTACTTTTAGAGTTGTTTGGTTTGTGTGAAAGGGGGTTTGCTGCTTGGTGGATATATTTATAAAAATGAAAAAAGTTGAAAAACATTTGTAGTTATATGTATTCTCAAAATGATCAAATGTGTTTAGAAAAACTAGCATTTGACTATTGTGCTTATGGTAGTTAAACTTTTTAAGTAACATTTTGAAAGTATTCTGTGCTTTGTGGATGAAAAAAAAATGAACAAAATTTATAAAAAATTCTGGAAAAGAAAAAACATTGTCCTTTGAATGGCTACTGTAAAAACATGCTTTTTGGTTATGAAAACCTTGAGTGAAAGAAATTGTAAGTGAATTTGATAGCATAAACAAATTGCTTTGGAAAATACTTCAAATTAAAAACAAAAACACAGAAAAAAATGATACTGATATATATAAAAAAAAAACCAAGCTCTAAGGGGAACAAGTACTTATGATAGTACTTGTTAGAGAAGTACTAACTGGGAACAAGTACTTGTTAGAGAAGTACTAACTGGGAACAAGTACTACTTGTTAGAGAAGTACTAACTGGGAACAAGTACTTATGATAGTACTTGTTAGAGAAGTACTAACTGGGAACAAGTACTTGTTAGAGAAGTACTAACTGGGAACAAGTACTTATGATAGTACTTGTTAGAGAAGTACTAACTGGGAACAAGTACTTGTTAGAGAAGTACTAACTGGGAACAAGTACTTATGATAGTACTTGTTAGAGAAGTACTAACTGGGAACAAGTACTTGTTACAGAAGTACTAACTGGGAACAAGTACTTATGATAGTACTTGTTAGAGAAGTACTAACTGGGAACAAGTACTTACGATAGTACTTGTTACAGAAGTACTAACTGGGAACAAGTACTTACGATAGTACTTGTTACAGAAGTACTAACTGGGAACAATACTTACGATAGTACTTGTTAAAATTAACTGGGAACAAGTAAAGTACTTGTTACAGAAGTACTGTGGGAACCTAGTTGAATGCTACTGGGAACAAGTAACATAGTACTTGTTACAGAAGTTACTGAAAACCTTGTTGAAGTACTAACTGAAAGAAATTGTAAGTGAATTTGTACTTGGCATAAACAAAGTACTTTAGTACTTGTTAGAGAATACTAACTGGGAACAAGTACTTGTTAAAAACAAGTACTTATGATAACACACTGGGAAAAAAATGAGTACTGGGAACAAGTATATATATACTTGTTAAGAAGTAAACTGGGAACAAGTACTTGTTAGAGAAGTACTAAATGGGAACAAGTACTTACGATAGTACTTGTTACAGAAGTACTAACTGGGAACAAGTACTTACGATAGTACTTGTTACAGAAGTACTAACTGGGAACAAGTACTTACGATAGTACTTGTTACAGAAGTACTAACTGGGAACAAGTACTTACGATAGTACTTGTTACAGAAGTACTAACTGGGAACAAGTACTAACTGGGAACAAGTACTTATGATAGTACTTGTTACAGAAGTACTAACTGCTTGGCTATTTAAAAAACAGAAAGAAACAAGGATCTTTTTGCTAATGTGATTAAATAACAAGGATGACTTTAGAGCAGAAAAGCGTCCCTTCATGCCAAGATAATATTGAAATGTTATAATAAAATCAGAACTGAAGTGAATCTTAAACTGATTTTTCACTGGTCATTAAACAGTTTAACCATCTGCTGAGAGATTTCATATGAAGTAAGTTGCTCTAGTTTTAGATTAGCAGACTTCTGGCTAGTTCTTATAAATGTAAAGATGTGACATTGAAATGTTATGAGAATTTGATATTAAAAAGGAGGAATCTAGACCATGGTAATAAGGTATTAATATAAGATGTACATGATTATAATACATCTGAATTACTAGTTTTATATCCAGTGAGCAGTTGAAAGACAATTGATTTTTAGTTCATAATTTAGATGGTTGTTTGTTCAAATAACCTTGCATACTACTTATTTACATAAACAGTTCTTGTTATCGCAATTTGTTAATTTGTTGGATTTTAAGCAGATTTCAAATGTAGGTTCTGCTTGGTTCCTGCTTGTGCCCTTTTGATTTTGGGACTGATCAGTATTATGGAATTAATGGCAGACAACCTTCTTTCATTTGCCTTTTTAAGAATATTTTTGCTAATTCAAGAGGAAGTCTCAAAATTCATTATCAAAACAAAGATCAGAATTGAAGGTTAAGTGGTGGTGGATACCTATTTCCCTCTTATTTGATTAAGTACATTTTATCTCTGGTAAAACAGATGTATGGTTTATCTTTACCCCCATATTTTCACTGATATAAATGTGTGAAGTTGACATTAATTAGGACATTTTTTATAAGAATTATAGATGTATAAAATTCAGATACAGTGAAACCCATTTATTATGATATCGGATACTTTGTTATCCTGCTTGTTAAACCTTTTCCTGTACCAAATACTTCCTGTATAGATAAAGAAAAATTTTCATTATGAAATATTGGTTATAAATAAGGGATATTTCTGCAACATTGTTTCTTAAATTGAATATTTGAATTATTTCAGTGAGGTGGAGAGGACCCCCATGTCAAGTAAAGTAAAGTGTTACTGCAGGCCATCATGGGAAGGAGTGATGGGGATGCGACCTTACATTTCTGACTACTACTGAATAATTGTTTATTTGTTTATATATGAATCACAATTAAGCACATTTTTTTTTAAATTCAATATGTTGGCAGGAAACAATACAGCTATTCATTTCATTACTTGAGTACAAAAATAAACTTAAACTTTTGAACTGTTTAAACACAAATCTTTAAGTGCCATGTTTTAAAATAAGTGCAACTTTTGTATTCTTTGTTTGATTAAGGAATATGGAAACATTAATGGCATGATGACACAGAAATGTGGTAAAACTATAGGCTTCAGATTTCTCTTCCATATTAAAAACCTGATACATGGTTAATCACTTATTAGTGAACAATGTTTATTTAAAGATATATGCAATTTTGCAAAAACAAGTGATAAATGTGTTATTGTGTGTGTATATATGTATGGTGTAAATGGGACATTGTATCAAATTTGCGTCTACCGTAAAATGGTATTCATACATGGGCTCAAATTTTCATGCCTTTCCAAAATAAAACATTTTCATTAACATTTCATGGATAGATATCACAAAAGGCAACATTTCTAGTGGCATTAATTTCTTGAACAAATGAAATTGTTGACTAATCCACTAAATCATTGAAAATAAAATTCCCACAAAAATTTATGATTTTACAGTATATGTGTACATGTAGGTACATGATTTAAGTATGCAGTGTATTGTAATGGAGGTTTAAATTACAGACAAGTAATGGATCCTGTTTATGTTAAATATCAAGAAAACACTGACATATAGAAGAAAGCCGAAGTGATCTCATTATTTTGGTAGATTAGATTTAATCAAGCAAAGATAAATGTAAACTTTGTTGTATAGGGTTAAGGATTGCAGACATATGGTATGTTTTGATGCATTTGACTTGCTTAATTAACAGTTCTCTCTAGTTGATCAGATTTTTAACAATGAAGAGACATATTAAAATGTGAAAAAGTGTCATTTTAGGGGTGTTGAATTTTTGCCACTAAATCAGTGTTTGACAGTATTTATAAGATTCCCTTAAGACAGATGTTGTGCCTCTGTGTGTATATAGACTTATACATGGATATAAGTTATATCATTTGCATACATTACTTCTATGCACCTACAACAAAACATCAGTTTATGATGTTGATATTGGAATTTGTTCTGGTAAAATGTGTGTGCTTTTTATGTATAGGTTGCCAAGTTTCATCAAAATGATGTGTAAGATGATATGTAATCGTAGTGGTTATGTAACATGACAGTGTGATGTGCACATGTATGAAGTTGAAAATATGAAACTCCTTGTATTTTTATAAGATTTTGTATTGTTTTCAAAGATATGTTATTACTTAGATGTGTATGTGGAGTTGAATATTGAAAGCCTACTGACACCGAGGTACATGTTAAAAGATCAAATATTTTAATCCATTCAAACTTTTTTTTACAACAAATGCAAAATAAGCTATTACAACAATTGCAAAATCAGCTATCAGCTCATATAAATCACTCTTGTTGGCCGGGATGGAAGTGCTCAGGGGGTCTTACTGTGGAAGGCAGCTGGAGTACCAAGGGAAAACCCATGTGGTTGGACAGGTGACCTCATACCTGTTATGTCCTTTTGGTAATCAAACCCTGGACAGCTAGGTGAAAGGCTAGTGTGTTACCGCTGCACCACCTTACCACCCGATTCATTATGTTAATTCACTAGTGTACATTTGACATTCTTTTTGACCCCAACAATTCATGTTAACTATTTTTTGATTTAATAAAATTTCATCTTTATTGAAATATATACACCTTATTAAATCCTGTCCTGTCCAGCAAGAGAAATCATAGTGCTTGAATCTCAACTAAATTATATACTCTGAATTCTCATTTTACCTTGGAAAATTATCATATGCTTGATGATGGTCACTGTTGTAGATGTTGACATGATTAAGATGTTGCAGTTAAAAGTATTGATGAATATATTCTAAATTGTTTTATAATAGTGGTTTCTGTTGACAGGAAATCCTTTGAATTATGTGTTTGTTATGTCATTTGTCCAGACTTATTTGATATTTATTTTGTTGATGATAGAGGAATGGATATACTGAAACAAATATGTTGAAGTGATTGATTGTTGGAAATGTAAAAATGGACTCGTCAGTTATGAAATATGTTAAATGATATTTTCCTATGATATAGGTTATGCATTTATTTACTGCCTTGAAATGTCTTTGCATAAATATTTAATTTGTTCACTTTAATTTACTGATGTTTTCTTTATCAAAAGATCTCAATGATGCCTGAAATTAATTCATTATGCCCTACCATTGGGGGAGGGGGGAATATTTTGAAAATTTAACCATAAACTCAAGGTCCTTTTGGTCTTATTTTACAATTGATGTCTCAAACTAACTACCAGCACACAATGTAAATAGATCTGTTTAAGTGCTAATGTTGATTTTCTTACAATATTTAGTGCTACAAGAGTTGGTATACTCACAGAATTAACAGGAGATATAGAAATGAAATCAATATATAGATATATCAATATTATAAGGAAGATTATTAAACAGAATTTACTGTTTCGATATTTTGCTTTTATTTTAGATAACCAAGATGGTACAGGGATTTTACAGGGTATTTAAACATTATTTTGTTTGGCTACAGAAAGACTTATCTGAATTCAAAAATGTGTGTCACAGATTTGTATTTGGTATTGTTATTAACAGAAATAAGCCCATGTCTGGTAACAGGCACCCCAAATCTATTGTAGTTTTAGTAGAAATGCAAGCATCCACATTACCTTGTAATAAACACATCCCCTACTTTGAGTCAGAGGACATGTGCTGGGACCCCCTGTGTCTATTGTAACATAAACACCATATGTTAATTAAGACATGTGGAAAGAAACTCCATCCTATCTTGATCAGCAAAACCTACATTTTTGTACATTTTTTGGCTCTTTTTATCATGATTCACTGTCTGACATGAATACATGCTGAACTTATCATCCTAATCTGTTCTCATTTTAAAGATGTACAATTTTTATTTTGTTTACAAATCAAATTGTGTGAAATGAACTTAATGACAAGCCTTGTGTCTACATTTAGTCAAATCAATTTATTTTAGTAAGCATTATTTGCTTTATTTTCTAGAGTTTGTTTACTTACAATAGATTTTAAATGTTTTTATAACAGATGTGTTGTGTTATTTGTTACTACAATAAGTTTTATATGATCCTTCAAGACGATTGCTTGGAAGGGATATCATTCTTGCATTCACTGTTTATGTCGGGAGTAAGTTTAATTCAACTCTCCATGGATGTGTAAGTCAACTGTTTGACTTCTTATTCAGAACCTGGACCTGTATTTTCTTTTGGATGTTAAACAGGTATTTTTGGTAATGAAGAAATATGTCAAATATTGTTTATTGTTGCTATTAATAGCCGGGGTCATTTAAGGACCACTACAGATTTGGGTAGTGGATTAAAGCCAGGGTTCTCAGAGAAATATCTGCAATATGTGGCCAGTAGCTTCCAACTGCCCCAGATAGGCCTTGAATCTGCGATCCAGAGATGGAAACTAAGCTAGTGGTAAAGACAGTCAGACGCCTTATCTGCTCTGCTCTTATACATGACCAGATACTTATAGTTAAACTAAAAGTTCAGAATAATGTTTGATATGTATCCATTCAAAAAGTGGCCTCATTCATAGAGGAATTCTGGTAAAACTTTACACAGTATTGGCCGTAAGTTAAGGTGGAATTGCAAGGGAATTCGTTTTGTTATCAGTGTCTTGAGAGGTGACCTATATTCCATGCACTGCTTATCTCCTGTCGATGATACGTTTATGACTGAACTCTCATCAAAGTAACTAAAAAATGGATGGAAAAAATTACATTACTTTGACCTTGAGTTGCAGATGACATTATTTCAGTTCAAGGTACACTGTCTGCAGGGGATGCAATATTATATCATTAAGACATGTATCCCTTATGGTTCAAATTGCATTTATTTGACTTTTGAGTGAAGGTCTCTGTGACATTGTTTTGGAATGTTTCCTTTGAAATGGTTTGTTTGTTGGGTTATTAAACCTATGAACATCAAGGGTTATTTTAAGGCAGTCTCCTTGATGGTGGTTTTCTCATTAAGATGACTTGCCACATAATGCATTGTCACATCTACAGCATAGGACACTCCTTGATGGTGGTTTTCTCATTAAGATGGCTTGCCACATAATGCATTGTCACATCTACAGCATAGGACACTCCTTCTGAAAGAAACAAACCATCCCAGGAACAAATTTGACCTTAAACACTTTGGATTGTCCTTCAAGATTTCTGAAAATTTTGACGCTGTATCAAGTTATTATGGTCTCAGACAGAAATGAAAAATGACATGACTGACATCCTGTTAGGTACTATGCTGTACTTCTTCTGAACTTTGCCTTAATTCCATGCATTTTATTAATTACTGTACCCCTCTGAACATCAACACAAACACTGTTTAAACACAACAACATTTACTGTTAAAAAAACAATTGACAATACATTTTACAAAACAAAATTTTTTTTACAAAAACACAATTCATGAATGTTATAGTATTGTTCCCTTGTCTATATATTGTATAAACAAAAATGCATCATGCAGTGAATCTCCTGAGATCTCTAATTGAACAAAGTTACAAATCTGAAAAAAATAATAATATATCTTACTTACCAAGTACAACTTTTATCAAAAAATAAATCATAAGTTATAAAACTAATACTTTTCTATCTACAGTAAAAATGTTTTCTCCAGAGTGGAACTTCATGAGTCAAACAGTGAATCATCAAATTTATTATTGGTAACCCACGGCCCTGATGCTCATGCAGAGAGTGAGAGTCAGGACCACGAGTCACTGACAATGCTTCAAATTGCTTTCTCCCTGTTTATAATGGATTTCATTAATACTACTGTATTGCCACTACATGTACAAAGATATGGTCTTAAAAGTACCATAAACTTTCACTCCCCATATAAGACAGTCTGGTGGGGTACACTGTTATATGGGTCACCATATTAGCATCTGTATTCAGATTCTGTGATGCACACCTTTTGTTGATATTTCTCAATAGACTAAAACTAAAGTCGTTTCATGATGCAGTTTAATTCAATTTTTGGCTCAATTGCATCCAATTCTAAATCTGTATAGAAATTTGATATTCACCACTGTGACTTTTATACAAAATTATGAACACGCATTTAAAAATAACTAGCAACACTGAATAGATATCACAACCAGCTAAAAACTTAAAGTGTGACATTTCGATGGCTTTAACACTGTCAGACAAATGATAATGAAATCACTAGACTTTTTAGCTGTTGTGTAATCTTATAAATACTTAGGTGAAATGTAGTGAGTAGAAATGGCAGTATGATTATAGTCCAAACATGTTGAATTGATGATCTTCCATACATACATAAAGTAGCACCAATCTTTTATCCAATTAAAGATAATTTGGCTAAACCTGGAAAAAGATGTGCATGAGTCTATGAGCCCCTGGTCCCCTTTTAGTACCAGCCAGCTGCAACATATTAAAATGACACTCTTTGCATTCATGGGAGAGTGCACTGTCACAAAATTATTCTTTTCGCTAGAATTGTAACCAACCAATACTATTATGGTCCTGTAATTAACCCATCCTCTGACTCTAATCTGAAGTACTTGGTAATGTGTTGGGCCTCTTAATTTATTGCAGGATAACAATGATATGATCTTATATAAATCAACAAGCTCCAATCTTCATTTGACTTTCGCTGTTGTGAGGATGAGGAAGCAGAATGAAAAATAATTTGTTCATCGTTGTTTTATATCCTTTAAACAGCCACTGTCATTTAAGGATGCACCTGGTTTGGTAAGTGAGAGAATGCTAGAGATTCTAAAGATAAACCACCTTTGGAAAGTACATGGTGACTACTCCATGTAGGCCTCAAACCAAAGACCCAGACGTGGAGAGCTGGTGATAAAGATTGTCAGACACCTAATCCATTCCATCACTGTAAATAAAAAACAATCTTACACATGTAATTAAACTATGATACTTTTCTATCATCTAATTTCTTTCCTGCTGTTTCCTGATGAAGGAAGAAAGTGAGAATTGTCTGCATCAGGAAGCATGCTCCCCACACAACTGGGTACAGCCATAGCACACCAGTAGAGAGTACACCTGCACTAAGGAATGGTGTAAAGAGGCTTGGAAGACCAATCAGTACTGAGATAAAGGCAAGGGCTGTGGTCCTTATATCAGTAGGGTACATTTCTGGTGTGAGAGTGTTTAGGATAGAATACATTGGTACCATAAAGAAATAACACACTATCACAATCACAGTTTTAGCTGCAACATCATCAATAAAAGCAAACAGTACAAGGGATATACATGTGAATAATGAGAAGAATCGTAGACAACGTATACGACCTAACATGTGTGGTTCTATAGTAATGATGGCTAAGAACATGCCAGGGATCTGGCCAATGAAAATACTAAAGGTGTTTAGGTAAGGCTCCATTCCCACTGAAGCCATATATGTTGGAAGAAACAGTGTCACACCCCAGTATCCAACACACTGTAGCAGCCAGATCGCAGAGATCACCAGAGTACGACCTCGAAGAGCAGGGGTCAAAAGGTCTTTCATACGACCACGATTTGTACTGGCTGGGCAGTCAATGTTCACTGTAACGCAGAAAGGCAAAGTATTACACCAATCCATAGTCCTGAAACTCCATATGAACTTAGAAATAAAAAAAATTAGCAGAGGATAATAACACTGCATATGTTGGACGTTAAGATATCCTGTAACAATTTGAGAAATGGATAAAGGGTCAATAATTTACTGATAACTTATATTGTTTTCCCTTGAAATATAATGTATATATGACTATATAAGAAGATAGTTCTTTAGGATGATGACTAGCACTAGGCCTACATATTTCAATTAAAATTTCTGGATTTTATAGAGACAGTAATACAACACTTACATTCCATTGAACAGTTACTGATTTATATTTTGCACTAATAGTTAAGATATGATATGAAGGCTTCCTACTTTTCTGAACATTACCTTCTAGCATTTGTTTCTTGTTCTGTCTGGCCATTTCCTTCAATAATGAAATCCCTGACTCCTCCTTGCCACTCACAAACAGAAAGCGAGGGGACTCCTTGATCAAAAGAAAGCTGAGAGGAATTTGTACCACAGTTGGAACTGCACATGCTCCCATGAATATCCGCCAACCATAACGTGACAGAAGCCACCAAGCCATTGCTGCTGCATATACTGCCCCCAATGTACCACACAAGGTGATGGTTACCAAGCAACTACCACGATTTTTTATAGGAAGGAATTCTGGAAAATGAAATGTAAGCCATCAAAACACTTAGAAAAAAAAGCAGAGGGATGAAATTAAATATTAGTAAACCAAATTTCTTATTTTTTAAATTCTATAATTTCATCAAAGATCAAACCATATATTTTACGCCTGTCCAACATTCAATCACAGGCCAAATAGTTTAAATTTCTATCTGGAGCCCTATCCAATGTGATTATGAGTCAAGGTTCTAAAATGTTTGAAATCCATGGACTCTGCTTTAAAGGAAGAAGTCTTTTCTTCACATTTGAAATATGCTTATAGTTTGAAATATGCTTATAGTATGTTCAGATTAAGCCATTACCAACTGCGTATCTGTTCTCTGTTATTGAAATAAAGCTTACATAGCTACCATCAGTTTCTATCCATCATGTGTGGAGAAGATCCCACATATTAAGAAAGGATTCTAGTAAAGACAACTTCAATAGTTTCCAATATTACCCACAATCCAGTTTTGTCATGACCTATTTCAAGAGTACAGAGATGATTTGTACAGGTAATGAGAGTGGAGCACTTTCAATTTAAAGATGAGAAGCTGATCACTCTACATTAGGCCTGCCACTAAAAAACAAGTACTGCATCTGCACAAACCCAACCAAAAGCAAAGGGTATGGATGACTTATTGCCATCAGTTGTAAAGAGGCTATACTAAATTAATGAAACTTGAACCTGTTCTGTCTTTAAGTGTCCCAGGGAGTAGCTGAAATTCTGTATATTTCACATAGGAAAAAGCATGCTTCTGACATCTAATGAAAAACTGGAAGGTTGATTTCAGCTGTATTAATGCTTACTCTTCTGGAACACCTGGTCTTATTCTCCTTGTACTTTTTCAGGAATCTCCATGTAAATCTTTCTTGTGTTCATATTCTCCCCTTGTTTTATTGAATTAATGGTTTATGATTATGTTGACATGTTGCTACTTTCTTGTTGAATTTTGGCCACATGCACCTTGGGGCAAAGCACTTTACAATTGCAAAATTTGGGGGTTTCAAGGAGGGGGCCCGAAAGGGTGAAAATTTGCCATTTTTTAATCTTTATCACAAGACATAGAAAAGAGAACTGAAATTTTTACATAGTAATAAAACACTCATGGAATCATTACAAAACTAGAACTAAAATCACTGACGTGCAAGACAACTGTTGCAACCCATGGGCCTCTTTTTTGATAAAATTTTCAAAGTCAAGATACTTAATGTAAATATCCGTGGTAAAAATTACACAAAAATAAAAGGATTTCCTGACAACTAACCCTTTCTCTGTTATGTTAATTGAATTAGATTGATTATTTTCCAGGCCTAATACCTGGTAGTTGTATGGGAACAAACAGTCTCATCACTTACCCAGCAATTGTACATGTACAAGAGTTCCTAGTCCTCCTTCTCCAGCTGAAATCAATGTCCTCACGCATACAAACAGGGAAAAGCTGTTCACAAATGGTGCTAGGACTGAAAACACTGCTAATATAACAGTACTTATCAAGAATGGTGTTCGTCTCCCATATTTGTCACTAACAATGCCTGTGACCACTCCACCAAGAATTCCTCCAACTGCGCCCAGTACTAGTAAAGATGGATAAGTCATATTTGCTATATTCCATTCTTTTTTTAAAGGTTCTGTCAAAAATATGATTAGCATCATCTCTGAACACACTGCAAAATATCCATGACATGTTAGAATCATCATCTTAATCTGGAAACGTCCAAATTTTATATATGTGAGAACATCGTCTAAAGTTTTTGATGATAGCATATTCTTATTGTCTTGTGAGTCACTTCTGACATCAGAAAAATCATCTTTAAACTGTACTCCTGGTGTAGCACAAATGTCATCCTCTTTTGTTTCTGCATTTTCAATTAAATCCTCTTTTTCATTCAAACAAATTTCATCTGAATATTCTTCCATATTTTTCCTGAAAAAGAAAAGGCAAGTATTAATTCAAATTGCCTTATTGATGCACAAAAAATTCTTGAATGTGTCTGTTTTACCAGAATGTACTGGAGAGACAAGTAAGACATGTGAAAATAAAAACTGGCCGAACGGTTACTTTGTATAGTGGAGAGATTAGTCAGACAGCTGGTAAAAAAAAATCAAAGGGGTAACATTGTAGGGTTTCTTAATTTAATCAATTTTAACTAAACTCAACTATAATGGAGGAAGCAATAATCTATAATATTTAGAGTAAAAGTGACTTTGAAAGTTTGGCTGTCATTTCTGGCTCGAAACAGTTAGACAAAAGTCTCGCCACTTTTGTCCTCCTTCACTCTCACCATAGTACAGCTTACATTTTAAGACAATGACCATGTATTCTCCGTATATTGAGTTTTGAGAAAATGGTACACTTAACAGATTTTTTAATATTTTTTTCCCTTTGACACCTTTCCATCCTTCTGACTAAATGTGCTTGAAAAACTGAATGCTTTCTTATGTAAGTCAAGGGAAATGTTAGACCAAAAATTTCTGTCTCTAAAACGATCACACTTAATGTCAATATTCATCTCTTACGCTATTATCAAAATTTACATACTAATTAACCACTTAAATCCTGCTGAACCTGACAGATGTCTGGTCATATCTACAGTTAAATTTGATCACTGTTTTGGTACTGGACTCTGTATTCCATTAGGAATTCATCACCAGAAAACTACTTACACTCTTAGATTTTCTGACGAACGTTGGATCTCATTTTCTTTGTATTGTTCATATTTAAATTTGTTAATAATAATGCTCTTAATTGGGCACAATCAATATATTTTACAGAGTATTCAATAAAAATGTAAATATCAATAACGGCAAAATAAATGTTAATATTGCCATAAAATTATTATTTCAGAGACACGATTTTTTATCTAGGGCTGAGAGAACTTCTAGCACAAAATCTAAATACAACTTCAATGCGCTCAGCCTCCGCCACAGCCAATGCTAATTATTTGCAGGCACCCGTGCTTGCAGTCAGTCCTGTAGGTTAAATCGGAGATCGGAGCATACAGAGCACGCTGCACATGTATTGGATATATAAAATTAGTGATATCAGTTATACAATTTCTGCAACTAACATTAAATTATACTTCTAATCAAACCTGTTTGCTGATGACATCCTGTGTGAATAGCGTCAAGTGAAACGTAAGGACGACTCGATTTACTAATAGCCAATGATACAGTTTGGCCCAGACTCATGCTCTCCTGCTTTGTTGTGTAATGAGGAAAATACTGTATCAAATTTGGGTTTGGCAGTTGGACATCTGAGATGGAACAGGATTTTCAATATTTCAGAAATAAGAAGTACTGAAGCATCTTTAAGGAATAAACTATAAAACGTTAAAATTTCCTTCCGGAATGACTCGACTAGTATTGTGAAAAGCAGGAACTCCTGTACGACAACTTCACAGCTAATATTAAAATTGGAGGTGGCGAGAGAGACAGAAAGCGGGGTGAGATCAACGAGTCTGGTATAGACGATAACCGTCATGCACCGGAAAATATCGCTAAGTAAGTATCGCTGAGTAAATTATATTGACCGGCATCCGTTGTTACTTGACAAATCAAGCGGGCCTAAATTGTAGAGGGCACGTTGTCGATCTTCAGCTGATCTTGGAATTGGGGAGTATGTGGACATTTGCACTTCCAGTACTTAACGATAGCCTTTCAAAAGTGTTAAAAGTGTATTTTCTGACACAGTAGTACTACAGCGAACTTTTTGTAACCGAGAACGGCGATTCACGTGGTAGATTGGTTAGTAGGTGACCTTGTTTCACTTTCCATAAATAAGTCAGACCATTGATCTACCTATTTGTATTGAAATACATCGAAGTATTTGGAGATATAAATTGTTGCTGCAATTTCAGATATCATAACAAGGAGAAATTGCATTTAAGTTATAAACAGATGAACAGGTCCTCTAAAATCTGTTGATCAACATACTGCATCAAAACCTATAAATAGAAAATAGCTGTATTGACCAATTTCAGATAGCTATGTAGTGATATATTTCGGATTTTTTTTTCAATTTATTTAAAAATAGAACGAAGTTGCATTTGGGGAATGTTTCAGATAGGATGGTTATGTAGGGTGGTTGGTAGATTGTATCGGACATGATGAATACATATATTGATGGATCAGTGTTGTCTCCAAAATTTAACTCCATCTCTCGTGAACATGTCTGATGCATTTAAAGGGCGTAACAGTCTGTTATTAGGAATGATATGAGTGTTGGTGTGGCAGAAGTTTCAATACCACAAAGTATTAGAAGATGTTTAAAGCTGATTTGTCACTGATTTTTTTTGTTTAATTTTAAACTTTCATCATATTCATTTTCCCTACATACACCTGACAATTAATGAATATGACGACAGTTATACTGATGTATAACATGTATTCTCTATACACAGAGTCCATGACTGCCATAATGAGAAGTACTGTGTTTGTGTATCTGGGGGAGGGTGCATGTGAAGCGAATGCAGAAGTCGTGGTGGCAAGCCTAAAGAGACATCTGGATGAAAAGTGCTATATCTTCAAGTTCATCTCCCCAGAGGAGACCATTGAAGGTGAGTTCAAATTGGGCAAATTACTGATACTTTAAAGTTCATCATGATCTATCTATTTATAAATGGTAAGTTGCTCTGCAGGCTATTTTTCTCATAGCCAGCAGCAATCATGTCCTAATCATTGACACCAAGGAAGAGATCTATGGACTGTTGTTTGTTTTACAATAATAATAAAACAATAAACAAACTTCCAGTGCCTAAAAGATACAGATGGTGATTCCTGATATGACAGTTTAGTGTGCTCAAATCACAAGACCCACTGTCTAGTTAGGGTTTCTTTTTGAAAAATTCTAAACAGGTGTTTCAGTGTCAGGTGGTTGTGTAGTAGTATAACACTAATTAGCTGTTACAGGATTGTGATATGGTGAATTTGGTGCTAAATCTCTTTCTTCGAATCAATTAACTCTGATTTATAGGAACCTGGAAAAAGTCTACTGCTCTGTATGTGATTGGTGGAGGGTATGACCTTGGTTTCATCAGAGCCCTTGGAGACAAAGGGACGCTACAGATTCGACAATATGTGCTAGATGGAGGATGTTATCTAGGACTTTGTGCAGGTTCCTACTTTGGATGTGACTACATAGAATTTGACAAGAATGGACCACAGGAAGTTTGTGGGGAAAGGATCCTGAAATTTTTCCCAGGTTTGTGTCTTATATCATGCACTTATTTGAACTGAATCAGTTTATTTTATTGTCTTTGACAGGGATAATTCTTGTTTAAGAAACAAACTTTCAGGGTTTTAAAGAGAATAAAAATTATTTTCCTACATTATTATAATTCTGAAAATTTGAATTAGATTTTCAATTGAAACATTGGTACAAATCACAAAATCTTTATTCAAAACATCAAATATCTAATTATCTTAAATTTAGTGGGGGAGAGTTTTTCAGTGTCTTGGAATCTTCTAAATCTTGGTAGTAAGCACTTATCTTGTGCCTTTTTGATTTATAGGTTTGTGTGTTGGGCCAGTGTGGGGTCCTTATAATTATGGCAGCGAAAGTGGTGCCAGAGCTGCCTTGGTAGACTACTATGACAATGGAACTCAAACTACACCTACCACACTTCGAGCCTATTTCAATGGTGGAGGAATGTTTCTCTTCTATGCAGACCAGTTCATATCTGTGAAATGCATTGCTGACAAAGTTTTGAAGAAACGAAAACAGGAGTCTTATAGAAAGGAATCAAATAAATATAGCAAAAATGACACCACAGAAAGTAAACAAAAGAAATCTGAACTTAAAGATATAAGTGATGTAGATCGTAGACTTTGTGATGATTTCAGACCTGAAGATATAACACACACTTTAGCTATATATAAAACAGAAGGGGAGAAAGGAAATGCATTTTGTGATGTTGGAACCAGTTTGTCAAAATTTACTTTTGAACCTCCAAATGCTAAAAGATCAAAAGTTGACAGCACGGAAAATGTATATGAATCTCATTCTAAACAAGAATCAGATGGTAACATAAAGGAAAAAACATCTACATGCCAAGCTAAATCACCTGACAAGAACGTGGAGATATTAGCTGTGTATAGTGAGGTCAAGGGAAAGCCTGCAGCTATTGTAAAGTGTAAAGTAGGCAAGGGTGTAGCTGTCCTCAGTAGCCCACACATTGAATATGACAGTAACAGTCTAAATGACGAGGACAAAGATATAAAAAAACTTATTCCACATCTTTCAGATTCAGACACTCATCAGGAAAAATGCTTCAGATCCATGCTCTTTCATCTTGGCTTGACACTAATTTACTAGCTTTAGTCAATGTGTCAATGGGCTGGGCCTAGACTGGCTTGACACTGAGTCATAAGCTTCAGTCAGTATGTAACTAGCTAAGATCTAGGCAAGCTTGACTCTTGTTACAAGCTTCACTCTGTGTGTTACTAGGCTAGATCTAGACTGGCGTGACACTAAGTCACACCTTTCAGTCAGTGTGTTACTAGGCTAGATCTAGACTGGCATGACACTAAGTCACACCTTTCAGTCAGTGTGTTACTAGACTAGATCTAGACTGGCGTGACACTAAGTCACACCTTTGAGTCAGTGTGTTACTAGGCTAGATATAGACTGGCTGGACACTAAGGCACACCTTTGAGTCAGTGTGTTACTAGGCTAGATCTAGACTGGTGTGACACTAAGTGTCACCTTTGAGTCAGTGTGTTACTAGGCTAGATCTAGACTGGTGTGACACTAAGTGTCACCTTTGAGTCAGTGTGTTACTAGGCTAGATCTAGACTGCCTGGACACTAAGTGACACCTTTGAGTCAGTGTATTACTAGGCTAGATCTAGACTGGCTAGACACTAAGCCAAACCTTTCAGTCAGTGTATTACTAGGCTAGATCTAGACTGGCTAGACACTAAGTCACACCTTTGAGTCAGTGTGTTACTAGGCTTGATCTAGACTAGCTGGACACTAAGTGACACCTTTCAGTCAGTGTGTTACTAGGCTAGATCTAGACTGGCTGGACACATAGTCACACCTTTCAGTCAGTGTGTTACTAGGCTAGATCTAGACTAGCTGGACACTAAGTGACACCTTTCAGTCAGTGTGTTACTAGGCTAGATCTAGACTGGCTGGACACATAGTCACACCTTTCAGTCAGTGTGTTACTAGGCTAGATCTAGACTGGCTAGACACTAAGTCACACCTTTGAGTCAGTGTGTTACTAGGCTAGATCTAGACTGGTGTGACACTAAGTGTCACCTTTGAGTCAGTGTGTTACTAGACTAGATCTAGACTGGCTAGACACAAAGTCACACCTTTGAGTCAGTGTGTTACTAGGCTAGATCTAGACTGGCTAGACACAAAGTCACACCTTTCAGTTAGTGTGTTACTAGGCTAGATCTAGACCGGCTTGACACTGAGTCACACCTTTCAGTCAGTGTGTTACTAGGCTAGATCTAGACTGGCTGGACACATAGTCACACCTTTGAGTCAGTGTGTTACTAGGCTAGATCTAGACTGGCTAGACACTAAGTCACACCTTTGAGTCAGTGTATTACTAGGCGAGATCTAGACTGGTGTGACACTAAGTGTCACCTTTGAGTCAGTGTATTACTAGGCTAGATCTAGACTGGCTAGACACTAAGCCACACCTTTCAGTTAGTGTGTTACTAGGCTAGATCTAGACCGGCTTGACACTGAGTCACACCTTTGAGTCAGTGTGATACTAGGCTAGATCTAGACTGATGTGACACTAAGTCACACTTTTCAGTCAGTGTGTTATTAGGTGAGATCTAGACTGGCTGGACACTAAGTCACAGCTTTCAGTCAGTAGTCAGCTGTTTCAGGTAGTCATTATACATTTTTATAAACCTGCTCAAATTTGGTTTTAAACATATTCTCATTTCATGGATGTATTTTTCATACGGAAATTGAAAACTGCCATGACATAAAAGATAACCAGAGAACTATAATCTTGCCATCAGTATCTGATGTTGATGAAAATTTATGAATGGTTTCTGAATGATCTCGGGCATTGGACATTGCTACAAATGAAATTTTAATCATAGTTCTGCAAAAAGTGTTTGTCATATTGATGGATGCAGAGATCAGAATATTCATAGCGACGAAAGAAAAGAGGTTTGCAGAATGAATTACTTGTACAATTAGTATATTCTATTAAAGTATCATTCCATTAAAGGTGAGGAAAATGTGCATCATGATTTGATGTTAACATCATCTATTATAGCACTTCTTCTTCATATGTTTAAGGTTATTACTTGAGGGTGTTTTATCTCTGTGGTGCTGACATTCACTACCAATATCAGTTAATAGGTTCAGTAATTTATTGTTTCATGTCATCATCTAAGATATGTTTTATAGTTATGTATCTGACATGAAATACGTTGTATAGTGTTATGTAGATTATAGGTTATGTGTCAATGTGAAATTCGCATGTGTGTTGGCAATCATAAATAAAGTTGGTTTACAGCATATTGCTGTCTGGATGTGAATTATTGTTTTGGATAATATTGGAAGTGTTGTTACAGTTTAATATATCAAGCTTGTCACTTGTTTTGACAAACTTCATTCATTCCTGGTGAGTTATATTAAACATTGAGAATAAGATGTGTGAAATATGATGTCTTTATATACTAGAATATATTCTTCCAACATATACCTGTGATTTTTTTTCCTTTATTTAGTTGCCTTTTGTAATTCAACATATCATGTATTTTCATTTTGCTAAAATTTCTGGGTTTTAGGAAAGTAACCCCTTTTGTTGACTCTCATTTTCCTGGATACACATTGCTCTCACTCATACTTAAACCCATATTTAGATATGTGTATCCTTTTTTAGGCAATTTATGGATAAAGAGTATTGACAAAATTGACGAGGGAAATTTAGGAGAATCTCATACTGCAAACAAATACTATCCCATGAATCAAAGTTATTCAGAACAAATGTTAAGGAATAAAAAAGATCATATTTTTGTCATTTAATTGATTTTAAGCGACCCAAATTTGCATGATAATGACTTAATAACTGATTCACAGTATACAAAGAAATCTCATTGTTGTTTGATACTTTTCAGAATCCGTCCTGGTATTTGGATGTCTCACTAGGGCCATCTATTCCTTTGTGTTCTTCTAGACAAGTAATTAAAGAAATCCTGCCGTTTACCTTTTCCTTGGCTAATGTTCAACCAACATAAATGTAGAGGATCATAAATTGTTTTAAATTTTTCTTTTGAACTGTATATGAACAGGTGTAAGATTGTGACTTTAAGCACAACTGCGGTAAAGTCTTGTTCACATACATAAGCAGTAATGTGATAAAATCTGAAAGTCATATTTTGATTCTGTTTTATAACGACAATCTTTGTAAGACAACAACCTACCAGTTATCTTAAATAGAAACTGATGTAAGAAGAACTATTTGCATTTTCAGTTTGATAGAATTGATATGTTTTTGGTTAAATCATAATGTTTATTTATTCTAGAATAAAGAAATAAGATGGATCTAAATTCTTGTTTTGTTATTGTTTATATTGGTATCCTGAGACTGAGTGTAATACTGATATAACCAAAATAAAGATACATATAACCATGTGTCAGATATGTACATCTAACCATGTGTCAGATATATACATCTAACCATGTGTCAGATATATACGTCTAACCATGTGTCAGATATATACATCTATCCATGTGTCAGATATATACATCTCACCATGTGTCAGATATATACATCTAACCATGTGTCAGGTATAACCATGTGTCAGATATATACATCTACTATGTGTCAGATATATACATCTAACCATGTGTCAGATATATACATCTAACCATGTGTCATATATACATCTCACCATGTGTCAGATATATACATCTCACCATGTGTCAGATATAACCATGTGTCAGATATATACATCTAACCATGTGTCAGATATAACCATGTGTCAGATATATACATCTAACCATGTGTCAGATATATACATCTCACCATGTGTCAGATATATACATCTCACCATGTGTCAGATATAACCATGTGTCAGATATATACATCTCACCATGTGTCAGATATAACCATGTGTCAGATATATACATCTAACCACGTGTCAGACATATACATCTCACCATGTGTCATATATAACCATGTGTCAGATATATACATCTAACCATGTGTCAGATATATACATCTCACCATGTGTCAGATATATACATCTTACCATGTGTCAGACATATACATCTAACCATGTGTCAGATATATACGTCTAACCATGTGTCAGATATATACATCTAACCATGTGTCAGATATATACATTTGGTCATGTGTCAGATATATACATCTAACCATGTGTCAGATATAACCATGTGTCAGATATATACATCTCACCATGTGTCAGATATATACGTCTAACCATGTGTCAGATATATACATCTAACCATGTGTCAGATATATACATCTCACCATGTGTCAGATATATACATCTACTATGTGTCAGATATATACATCTCACCATGTGTCAGATATATACATTTGGTCATGTGTCAGATATATACATCTAACCATGTGTCAGATATAACCATGTGTCAGATATATACATCTCACCATGTGTCAGATATATACATTTGGTCATGTGTCAGATATATACATCTAACCATGTGTCAGATATATACATCTAACCATGTGTCAGATATATACATCTCACCATGTGTCAGATATATACATCTTACCATGTGTATATACATCTAACCATGTGTCAGATATATACATCTAACCATGTGTCAGATATATACATCTAACCATGTGTCAGATATGTGTCAGATATATACATCTAACCATGTGTCAGATATATACGTCTAACCATGTGTCAGATATATACATCTAACCATGTGTCAGATATAACCATGTGTCAGATATATACATCTAACCATGTATCAGATATATACATTTAACCATGTGTCAGATATAGCCATGTGTCAGATATATACATCTAACCATGTGTCAGATATAACCATGTGTCAGATATATACGTCTAACCATGTGTCAGATATATACATTTAACCATGTGTCAGATATAACCATGTGTCAGATATATACATCTAACCATGTGTCAGATATATACATTTGGTCATGTGTCAGATATATACATTTAACCATGTGTCAGATATAACCATGTGTCAGATATATACATCTCACCATGTGTCAGATATATACATCTAACCACGTGTCAGATATAACCATGTGTCAGATATATACATCTCACCATGTGTCAGGTATAACCACGTGTCAGATATATACATCTCACCATGTGTCAGATATATACATCTAACCATGTGTCAGATATATACATCTCGTCATGTGTCAGATCTAACCATGTGTCAGATATATACGTCTAACCATGTGTCAGATATATACATCTAACCATGTGTCAGATATGTGCATCTCACCATGTGTCGGATATATACATTTCACCATGTGTCAGATATTTACATCTAACCATGTGTCAGATATATACGTCTAACCATGTGTCAGATATATACATATAACCATGTGTCAGATATAACCATGTGTCAGATATATACGTCTAACCATGTGTCAGATATATACATATAACCATGTGTCAGATATAACCATGTGTCAGATATATACATCTACTATGTGTCAGGTATATACATCTACTATGTGTCAGGTATATACATCTAGCCATGTGTCAGATATATATATCTAACCATGTGTCATATATATATCTGACCATGTGTCAGATATAAACATCTTGTCATGTGTCAGATATATACATCTAACCATGTGTTAGATCTAACCATGTGTCAGATATGTATACTCACCATGTGTCAGATATATACATCTAACCATGTGTCAGATATATACATCTCACCATGTGTCAGATATATACATCTAACCATGTGTCAGATATATACATCTCACCATGTGTCAGATATATACATCTACTATGTGTCAGATATATACATCTCACCATGTGTCAGCTATATACATCTACTATGTGTCAGGTATATACATCTCACCATGTGTCAGATATAACCACGTGTCAGATATATACATCTCACCATGTGTCAGATATAACCACGTGTCAGATATGTATACTCACCATGTGTCAGATATATACATCTAACCATGTGTCAGATATATACATCTAACCATGTGTCAGATATATACATCTCACCATGTGTCAGATATATACATCTAACCATGTGTCAGGTATAACCACGTGTCAGATATATACATCTACTATGTGTCAGATATATACATCTAACCATGTGTCAGATATACACATCTAACCATGTGTCA